ACCACCCACACTACACCACAGTACACACACTACTCCACACTATACACACTACACCACCACAGTACACACACTACACCACACTATACACACTACACCACAGTACACACACTACACCACACTATACACACTACACCAGACTACACCACGCACGCAAGACAACTTTCTCCATCGCTTCTGTAAAGACCGAATTGCAACTCCCATTGTTTGACGAGGTGAACACGTGACGAGGCCGTCACCTCCATTGCTGGACGAGGTGAACACGTGACGAGGCCGTCACCTCCATTGTTGGACGAGGTGAACACGTGACGAGGCTGTCACCTCCATTGCTGGACGAGGTGAACACGTGACGAGGCCGTCACCTCCATTGTTGGACGAGGTGAACACGTGACGAGGCTGTCACCTCCATTGCTGGACGAGGTGAACACGTGACGAGGCCGTCACCTCCATTGCTGGACGAGGTGAACACGTGACGAGGCTGTCACCTCCATTGCTGGACGAGGTGAACACGTGACGAGGCCGTCACCTCCATTGTTGGACGAGGTGAACACGTGACGAGGCTGTCACCTCCATTGCTGGACGAGGTGAACACGTGACGAGGCCGTCACCTCCATTGTTGGACGAGGTGAACACGTGACGAGGCTGTCACCTCCATTGTTGGACGAGGTGAACACGTGACGAGGCTGTCACCTCCATTGTTGGACGAGGTGAACACGTGACGAGGCCGTCACCTCCATTGCTGGACGAGGTGAACACGTGACGAGGCCTTCACCTCCATTGCTGGACGAGGTGAACACGTGACGAGGCCGTCACCTCCATTGCTGGACGAGGTGAACACGTGACGAGGCTGTCACCTCCATTGCTGGACGAGGTGAACACGTGACGAGGCCGTCAAAGTGCGTGGCGGTGATTTGGGTAGCGAGAGAGAGAAGGTGACGCGATCGTTTTGCTGACGAATTGAGCCTCGCCTGGGGACTTGTGTTCAGTCACGGGATTTGCATAATGTTCACAAACATTTTACCTTTTGTTTTTGGCGGGTAACTCGGAGATGTTGTCTACCTCGCCTGGTGTACAGGAGGTCCTGGGTTCGATCCTGACCATAACACCTGCTGGATATTTGGAGTTTGCGTCTCTGTCTCCCTCTCTCCCCGTGGTCGCGTTGATTTTTCACCGCTTTCTCTTCTGGTTTCCCCCCCTCCACATTTAAAATCAACGTCGCGCGTTTGGACTCTTTGGCTGCTGCTATACATTTCCAAGTGATGATGATGATGATGAGCCAACTTCGTCGAGTTATCATTTGTGATAACAGCAGCTTAGTAGTTAGGCCCTTCCTGGTAAAATACAAAAAAAACGTATATGTTAGTTTTATTTTAGTTTTACAAGTGTAGTTAAGGGCAGAGTTCTGCTGTGGCAACACACGTGTTGCTGATTTAATATTGGATGAAGCAGGCTGCAGTGACCTGCCTTTCCTAAGCCAACTACCAGAGCGCCAGCAATGAAGCCAGATCGGCAGGGATTTGAGCCTGGGCAGTGCCAGGATGCGTGGACAGAGCTCTATTGTATGGAAAAAATAATAGGCGGTGAACCTTTCTGAGTGTCGTTAAGATGTTCAAACACCAAATAGAAACCTTCTTCAACGTAACAAGTACCGCATTAAGCACACGCGGTGCTTGTGGTGAAACTGCAAACCAACATGCTCTGGTCATTATTGCAGGGGTGGGGAACGTCCAGGCCCGCGGGCCGTACGAGGCCCACGAAATCATTTGGGCCTGGCCCTGCCAAGGAAACCGCAGGCGGGACTCGAAATCCAATACATCTAGGAGCAAACCTGGAAAAGCAGTTGCGAGTAGCAACATCATCAATACCAGCTAACATCACACGCCTCGCCACTGGGAAGCAGTTCCAGCCATCGCATTAGGGGTGAGCTAATTAAATGTTTGACCAAATATAACAGGTACATTTTTAAGTTGATAATTTTGTATGGCCCGCGAATGATGTTGTAAATATCATTCGCGGAGGAAAAGAGCAGACTGCAGCGTATCATCCGCACTGCGGATGATACGCTGCAGTCTGCTCTTTTCTTGAGGACCTGCACACTTTGAGGACCCTGATGCGAGCGAGGAAGATTGCGGACGATTCCTCGCACCCTGGATACTCTCTGTTCCAGCTACTCCCCTCCGGCAGAAGGCTGCGGTCCATCAAGACCAAAACCTCACGTCATAAAAACAGTTTTTTCCCATCCGCTGTTGGCCTCCTCAACAAGGCCAAGGGCTTAAAATGACTTTTACACTTAAAATGACTGTTACACTTACTATAACATTTTATCTACATAATTACACCTTTCCATACTTACAACGTGTAATCTTATTTGTATTTTTGTATTTTAAGATTGTTTAATACGGCTAATTAACATTTTACATTTCACATTTTATAAGGTCTACTTATTCATAATTTTAAAGATTTTAGCCCTTTAGTATTACTTATACTTTGTAACGTTAGTATAGTTAGAGTGTATACCTTTTATATAAGATTCCTACTTTTTCAATGTATGCACTGTCCCGCCATAGTGAATTCCTTGTCTGTGCAAACTTACATGGCGATTAAAACCGTTTCTGATTCTGATTTCTGATTCTGATTCTGAAATGGCCCTTGGCAGAAAAAAGGTTTCCCACCCCTGATGAATGGCATTATCTTTGAAACGGATTGGCCTACACCAGAGACAGCAGCCTGCTTTATGGCCTAGTCTCACTAGTGTCAGACCAGAAAACGCCAAAATGTGAACAGCACAGAGACAATGCCACTATCAGAGCATTTATAGCTCGCGTGAGCAGCTATATTATGAGACCCTTTGTCCAGCTTCATAGTATGAAAAATGAGAATCGGGTTTTAACCTTTCTAGCAATAAAACAGGAGTGGTGTTAAGATGTTCAAACACCAAATAAACACCTTTTGCAAGGGATCAAGTACCGCATTAACCACACATGGTACATGTGGTGAACATGCAAACAGACTTGGCTCTGATAATGTTACATGCATTGTCTTTGAAACTGATTGGCCTACAACAGAGACAGCAACCTTCTTTATTGCCGAGTCTCAACCAGTGTCAGACCAGAGAGTGCCAAAAGGCGAACAGCACAAGGACATACTCTGGTTCTTTCGGTAAATTCACGTAGTTAGAAATAAAATCAAACAAATCACGACGTTTCGATCGCAACACAAGCGGTCGACTTTACCGAAAGAACCAAAGAGTATGGATTCCTGCAGTCGCGAAAGCTTCAAATCAAACACAAGGACAATGAACTATCATGCATTTATAGCTCGAGGTGAGCTGCTACATGGGACCTTTTTTGCCAGTAACAAAAAAGTATGCAGACATGTTTCATTGCAAAAAGTTTATATTTGGTGTTTAGACATCTTAACACACCTGTTTTATTGCTAGAAAGGGTAAACTTATTCTTATTTGTTTTCATACTTTTGTAATGGTTCGATATAGGTGCACACACTCGTGTGGAGGCAACACTATTTATTTAACACAACTGTTACACACTTTACATGTGTAGAGGAGTAATATGGGGACGTGACGTCATGCGCGCTGTCTAGTGCGATGACGCCATGGGACGTGACATCATGCATGCTGGGCGGGGCGATGACGTCGTGTCTCCTCTAGGTACTTAAGGGGGACCCCGTGACGAGAGCGTGGTCACTGTGGGAGCCCGGGATGGTGGATGGTTGAAGAGCGAGCCAGGGGTAGAGCTGAGAGAGAGTCGATAGAGAAGCTGGCGGTAGTCATGGGAGGTGCTGCTCTCCCCGGTCGGTCGGTCGGTGTTGGCTGATTCCCCGATCCGACTCGAGGGAGAGAGACCGGAGCTAGCCGAGCTAAGAACAGAGAGAGACGGTTCGTGCGAGTTGTCTAAACCCTTAATAAATAACTGGCGACGTGGGGCTTCGGTCTTCACGAGGCGTCTTCATCCCAGGCACGAACAGCCCCGCTCCCTCAGCGGCGCCCGCTTATGAGCTCCCCGGCGTGGCCTGGCCACACCCCGGCCACGCCCCCCTTCTCGAACCCTCGAGAAGGCTCTGGACCCCAACCACGTGACCCCAAGGTCCCCCCTGCGCCCCTGTCCCCCACCTTGATCCGGTCATGTGTCCACTCAGAGTGCCACGGCCTGCCACGACCCCCGTGGCACTCGTCAACGGCCTCCGCACTGCCCGACCCGGCAGTGGTGTCATCTGAACCGACCCGACATGGTAGTCACGTCATGTGTGTACAGACCCGACATGGTAGTGACGTCATGTGTGTACAGACCCGATATGGTAGTGACGTCATATGTCACTACACTTTGATACTGGAAAAAAAAACACATTCCTGCGGAGGGAGCTAGTAGGAACGTTGGGTTGCTCGGTCAATGGCCAGGGTCAACGGCGGCGTGGTGTATTCCGTAAATATGGCCGACTGTGAGGGCGGGCACAAGCCGGCGTGAGTAGGTTAAACGTTGAGCTTTATAAGGGCACCACGGGGTGACCAGCCCCTCCCCACCCAGCCCCACCCGTTCCACCCCCCACCCAGCCCCTCCCTCCCCACCCAGCCCCTCCCTGCACGACGGACAAACGGACACAATAATCCCCTGTGGGCTGGTGTAACCAGGAGGTTCCTAGCAGTATAAGGTCTCAGTGTTCTATAGCTCAGTTTGTGGGCCATACCTGGTTGGTAAAATGACAATAGAAGGCAATCCAGTTGTTCGTTTCGTTTAAAGTTTCATCAGGGCCAGAGCCCAACCCCAACACCGCACCCACTCAAACGAGCTCCTGTCTGCACAAGTGGCGTTTCCCCTCTGAAGAGGTCAAACCAACCCCCACCACCCCCACCACCACCCCCACCGCCCCCACCACCACCCCGACCACCACCGCCACCCCCACCAACCCCACCACCGCCCGACCTCTCCCCCCCCCAGGGGGGTTGGGCCAGGCAGGCGAGGAGGCGGGCAGATTGGCCGCCCCGTGAGTTGTCATTGGCGGCCCCGTGGTCTATAAAGAGAGGGGGGGGCGAGCCGCCTCTCACAGCCGTGGAACACGCCGGGTGTCGTGACGGACGTGCAGGGTGCACGATCTCTCTCCCTGTATCTCTCTCCCCGTCTCTCTCTCCCCGTCTCTCTCTCCCTGTCTCTCTCTCGTGCCCTACAGGGCATCCCTCTGCTCGCCCCCCCCCCCCCCCCCAGCAAGGTGAACAAACTCACGACTCGTGCCGTCACCGGTAAGGGCCACCGCGTTCGCGAATAGCGCGACTCTGTCTGTCTGTGTGGGGGGGGGGGGGTTATTGGATGGTCGGGTGAGATCGCGAATGTACATAGATAATGCGCAAACTCCAAATATACAGCAGCAGGCATCGTCAGGGTCGTGATCGAACCCACGACCTCCTGTATACCAGACGAGGGAGTTAACATCTCATAGCCACCGTGATCCTTAAACTCGCCACCACCAGCCGACACAGCCCACCAGTAAGGGGTTTGTGTCACGCAAACACAAACGTGGCCAATTCCTTACTTAGTTCATCACTAACCGGGTGTGTGTTGGAGAGTAAACCCACATTATTACAATTACAATAATAGTGTAGTGTATAGTGTAGTGTATAGTGTAATATACTAGTTCATCACCAACCGGTTGTGTATTAGAGAGTAAACCCACACTTGTACAATTATAGTGTAGTTTATAGTGTAATATACTAGTTCAGCACTAACCAGTGGTGTGTTGGAGAGTAAACCCACTACAACATATACAATTTACCACAACAACAACCACAACAACAACCCAAACAAACCCTCTGTCGGGGATAATATTGGGCTCGAAAGCTTCCTACTACGACCACTCCGTGTTAATTGCACCATTTGTTTGCCTGTTCACCGCAAAGTACTGTGTGTGGTGAACGCAGACTTGATGTCCTTGCAATAGGCCTATGTCTATTTGGTGTTTAACTCCTGTTGTTACTGCCAGAATGGATGTACAACCGATTCTTATTTTTTCCCATCATTTTGATGCTGCCAATGAAAGGTATCCCACGATATTACTGCTCGACCCGAGCTCTCGGTGTTATGATGCTTGCATTGCCCTTGTGCTGTCCGCCTTTTCGTGTTCCCTGGTCTCACACTGGTGGTGAGACAAGGCTATACAGAAGGTTGCTGTCTCTGGTGTAGGACATTCAGTTTCAAAGACAATGCATGTAACATCATCATTATTATTGTCACCAGAGCCATGCTTGTTTGCATGTTCACCACAGGCAACGTCTGTGGTTCATGCAGACCTGACGTCTTGCAATAGATGTAGTTGGCGTGTCTCTCTTTCTCTCTCTCATTATCATCACGGTGGCTAGGAGATGTTAACTACCTCGCCTGATGTACAGGAGGTCGTGGGTTCGATCCCGACCCTGACGATGCCTGCTGTTGCTGTATATTTGGAGTTTGCGTGTCTCTCTCATCATCATCACGGTGGCTATGAGATGTTAACTACCTCGCCTGGTCTACATGAGGGCGTGGGTTCCATCCCGACCCTGACGATGCCTGCTGTTGCTGTATATTTGGAGTTTGCGGTGTCTCTCTCCCCGTGGTAGTCGCGTCGAGTTGTCTCCGGGTCCTCCAGTTTTCCCCTCCATTTAGAATCAACGCCACGCGTCTTCCAGTGTCTTGGCTGCTGCTCTCCATATCGACGTGATGATGGTGGTGGTGATGATGAGCCAACTTCGTTGAGCTATCACTCGTGATAGCCAGGCCGCTTCTGAAATAGAGCGACAGAGCAGCTCAGTGGAGCCTTAACTGGTAAAAATAATAGTTAGAATTTGGTTCTGTACGTGTCTCTGTGTCTCTATGGTTCTGTACATGTCTATGTGCCTCTATGTGTCTCTATGGTTCTGTACGTGTCTATGTGCCTCTATGGTTCTGTACGTGTCTCTGTGTCTCTATGGGTCTCTATGCGTTTGGAGTATTTGGCTCCTGCTGCAATTGTCTACGTGATGACGATGATGACAAGCCACGTGGTAGAGCTGCTGTCATTCGTGATGGCCAGGTCAGGGCGTCTGAAAACCAGCGACACAGCAGCTCAGTGGAGCCCTTGCCTGGTAACAATAAAAAAATTACCTCGTAGTTTAACACCTGTTGTATTGCCAGCAAATATAAAGCCTATTCTTGTTTTTCTCATCACACTGTATTTATGCTGAACGCACACACGCACGCACGTACACACACACACACTTACACACAGACGCAGACACACACACGTACACACGCACACACACGTACACACATACACACACGTACACACGTACACACATACACACACACAGACACGTACACACACACAGACACGTACACAGACACGTACACACACACACGTACACACACACGCACACACATACGCACACACACACAGACACACATACGCACACACGTGCACACACACGTACACACATACAGACACACACACAGACACACACACATACGCACACACACACAGACACACATACGCACACACGTGCACACACACGTACACACATACACGCACACACATACGCACACACGTGCACACACACGTACACACATACACGCACACCGAGATATACCAGCTCAGCCACTTTGGTCGCATCGATTTAACAAGCTACCGCCCAACATCGGACGACGCGACAAAGACAAAGATACCCCGTGTAGCCTGTAACAGACTGTTGGAGCAAGTGCTGTTAGCGAGTAGCACCTACGAATGCCGGCACGGGACACGAAGGGGTGCGTGGCCAGCCCCATGCCCGGCCGCCTTTGTCTCCCTGTTGGCGATGCTTACACATTGCACCGGGTACTCATTTTAGGCTGAGTCGACCTAGGGGACGCCCAGGACCGCTGCGCCCACCGCACAACTCTGAGCGGTGATTCGACTCATCTAAGTGGGGGTAATGAAACATTATTATTATTACAGGGACTCCTCAAATTAGGAACGAGTTAGATTCCAGAGGTCTGTTCGTAAGTCGAATTGTTGGCGTCCAATGTTACTCCTGTCGATTCCAAACGTGTTGTACGGCATGTACACTTCTTCTTCTTCTTCTTCCTAGCGTTGTTCCCGCTGTGGCGCAGGGTCCGCTTTTCGGCATTGTCTTCTCCATTTGGCTCGGTCCAGGGCATCTTCAGGGGATGCGTTGACCGTCTTCATGTCTTCCTTTATTCGGTCCATCCATCGCTTCTTCGGACGTCCGCGTGGACGGCGGCCCTCTGGCTCAATACGCACGGCAGTCTTGGCCACCGATGACTCTTCACTTCGCATCACATGGCCGTACCACCGAAGCCTTGCCTCAAGCATCTTGTCCGCAATGGGGGCCACACCAAGTCGCTTCCGAACGTCTTCGTTCCTGACACGATCCCATCGAGTGAGCCCGAGGCTCCATCTGAGCATCCTCATCTCCATGGTGTGGAGAGCTTGTTCGTGTACAGTTGTGGCTGGCCAGCACTCGGATCCATAGAGTGCCACCGGTCGGACGATGGTCTTGTATATTTTCCCCTCAGCCTATCCGGCATTTTCCGATCACAGAGGATTCCGGTGACTTGCCTCCATTTCATCCACGCCGCATTGACTCGTGACCTCACATCAGTCGTGATGCTACCATCTGAGCTGATGGTGGAGCCCAGGTACTTAAAGTCCGTCACTTTCTTCAGATCTTCTCCGTCAATACTGATGGTGCCGTCGGTTTGGGGGCCACACTCCATATACTCCGTCTTTTTGATGTTGAACCTCATCCCGTTTTCGTCCAAACGTTCCTTCCACAGGCACGTTTGTCTTTCCACTTCTCCTCTCTCTTCATCTGAGAGAAGGACATCATCCGCGTAGAGAATTGACCATGGAAGGGGCGTGTGCAGGTCGGCAGTGATCGTGTCCATGCACAGGATAAACAGGAGTGGTGACAGGGCCGATCCTTGGTGCACTCCAACGCTGATGGGAAATGGCAGTGATAAGCCCACTGCACACCTGACTGCACTGGTGACGTTCTTGTATAGGAGTTGCACCCAATGCACGTAGGTTTCAGGAACTCCATGGGATCGAAGCGAGTGCCAGATGAGGTCGTGGGGGACCCCGTCAAATGCCTTTTCAAGGTCGAGGAACGACACGTGCACAGCTTTGTTCTTCTCTCTGTGCCTCTCCAGCAGGAGCCTCGCCGCGAATATGGCGTCTGTAGTGCCACATCCTTTGACGAAGCCGCATTGGTTGGGTGATAGGGTGATGATGTTTCTAATCCTCGTGTCCAAAACTCGCTCAAAGATCTTCATCGCATGACACAGGAGCCTGATTGGCCTGTAATTCGAGCATTCTGCCACGTCCCCTTTACCCTTCCAAATTGGAACCATCGTGCTGGTCGACCAGGCTTCTGGGACCTCACTGGTGCTCGTGATGGTGCTGAAGAGCTGGGTAAGGAGGGCAGCACCCTGCCTGCCAAGGATCTTCCAGGCCTCAGCAGGGATATCGTCCGGGCCAGTCGCTTTCCCATTCTTCATTCTCTTGATAGCTTGTTCCACTTCGGTGATGGTGATAGGTGAAACCGGACCGAGGACGTGTTCAGCGCTAATAATAGGTGGGTGGGGAAATTCCTGGTTGCAGATTCCAGAGAAGTAGTCGCTCCAGCGTTGAAGGATGGCGGGCGGGTCTCTGAGAGCGCTGTGATTCTCATCCTTTATGCATTTGACCTGTACGGCATGTACACTAAACACGGGAAATTGCTTTAAAAGTTGAATAATCTCCTGTAGATGTAGATGCCACTGGTTCTTCACGTTCTGCAGATGTAGATGCCACTGGTTCTTCACGTTCTGCAGATGTAGATGCCACTGGTTATTCATGTTCTGCAGATGTAGATGCCACTGGTTCTTCACGTTCTGCAGATGTAGATGCCACTGGTTCTTCACGTTCTGCAGATGTAGATGCCACTGGTTCTTCACGTTCTGCAGATGTAGATGCCACTGGTTATTCATGTTCTGCAGATGTAGATGCCACTGGTTATTCATGTTCTGCAGATGTAGATGCCACTGGTTATTCATGTTCTGCAGATGTAGATGCCACTACTGCCATCTATTGTTTGGCGGTTGAACTTACGACTCTCAGTCCAAACAGGCAACTGGATATACGGACCAGGTTTGTTCATATCTCTGAAAGTTCGTAAGTCGAATGTTCATAAGTTGAGGAGTCCCCTGTATATTTGATTATTGTATATCGTGGTCTGCTATCGGCCCACATCCACATCACGTCGTTACCCTCTCACGGTTTCGCACTCTCAGTCTTCGCTAAAACATTTGCAGCCACTACAGCTCCGTAGTAACTCCCGATTTGCAATGTCATTGACGCATTCTCCCGTGAAATAAATACAAGGGGATCTCTACGTCCCCCCCGTTCTTTCACCAGAGCTACTACTCGTCATTCGAAGCGAATTATGTTTCGCTGCGTTACATTACTGCGTCACAGCACTACGTTACATCACTACGTTATATCACGATGTTACATCACGATGTTACATCAGGATGTTACATCATGACGTCACATCACTACGTTACATCAGGACGTTACATCACTACGTTACATTACTACGTTACAAAATATTGAGTTTTTTTTACCGAATTCGAAACTAAAAATGTCTCTTCTTCTTCTCGTTGTTCTGACAGCGCCGCCAGTAGGGCCCGGCAATTGGCACTTCTCTCGATCTTGGCGAAGGAACGCTCTTCGTGCCACGACGTCAGAGGAGCGCGGGAGCCATGAGGAAGCTGCTGTTCTTGAGGAGGCGTGGGGCCGCCGCCTCCAACGACAACAACAGCAGCCACCACCACCAGCAGCAGCAGCAGCAGCACACGGACACGGCGCTGTCCACCACCAAGCCTCCGCGGTGAGTCCAGTGAAGCCTCTCGTGGAGCCGCCACCGCCAACCGGCCACCAAGCACCTCACGGCAGCGGCCGATAAGAGAGTTCAGTGGGCCGACCGCCTCGTTAAGGACGCTGACGTCAGTCTGGGGGGTTTTTGAGGGCTCGTCCGAAGAGCCACCGTTGAGTTTCACTCGCGTCCCCTTCCCCATCTGTGTTAATGGGTCAGGGGTAGGGGTTGTTCTACCCCCATGTTAGTTTTAACGCTAAGGGTTGTTGTTGTTTTTTTACTTGACCTGGGATTGTGTTGCCAAGCGCTAGCCGGGCCCCCCGTCGTGTGAATGGCGCCGCAGTCCGACTCTCGATCGCCCGCGCTAACGACGCCGATAATCCAAAAACTTTACCATTTTCCACGGATCTCTATGCCAAAAACCACTCGTATACATTCTGAACAAATACCAATGATCGACTGATCAATTATGTGCGTGCTCAGTGATAATAACACTTTCCTGCTCCCGCCCAGCAAAAGAGTCCGCCCACTAAGGGGATGACAGCAGAGCCACAGCCAATCAACATCAATCAAACTCCGCTCCACTGTTGTAAAGATATTGCAACTACTGTACTGTAGAGGCGACTGCATGGATTTCGGATTAACCGGAGCAACATATTTGTTCGGTTTAAGCACCACGTGCCTTGTAGTAAATATTTACAATAATAACAATGTACAACTGTTTGTAGATTATTAATTTGGGCTTCAGGGGAAAATCCACAAATTATGAATTCCCACCTAAATGTCAGGTGCACGGTTAACCCGCAAATCGGATAAACCATGCACGGATAATTGAGAGTCTTACTTTACTCTTTGGTTCTTTCGGTAAAGTCACGTAGGTATTAAAATAAAATAAATAACGACGTTTCGGGCGCAACACAAGCGTCCGTCATCAGGTGGGAAAGCATGGCCTGCTGCTGATGCAGACTGTTTTATTTTTATACCTACATGACTTTACCGAAAGAACCAAAGAGTATGGATTCCTGCAGTCACGAAAGCTTCAAATCAAGTCTTACTTTACTTAGCAGGAGAACGAGGGAGGGGCAGGAGACCGTGGCAGCTGCTACTTGGGAGGTTTGCGTCTGCATGGCGATTTGGCGTTGGGCACGAACAGGATAAGCAAAAGTGCAGTGGCCCTCCCCAACAGCCCAGGGGGTTACTACGCTGACGATCGCGCTCATCACACACACAAAGCGCTTGCCACGAGTGAACCGCGATACCTCGCCGATCTCATCCGGGAGCAATAAACCATCATCACACGAACTCCGGTCGTCATCCTCATAGCGGCCGTTGACAGACCATCGAACAAAGGCGGTGGTCACCGCAGCATCGTCGCACGGCGCTTTCAGATGCGCTGCTTCTGCGGCCGTCTGGAATGCTCTTCCCTTCCAATATTAGGAAGCCACAGGGAGCTATGATGCACTTTTAAATCGAAAACTAAATTCTTCAGAACTGCTTTTTGCGTTTAGTTTGTTGTCCTTCGCCCACACCTCAGATCAGCATGGTTGGCTACGTACGGTGCGAAATAAATTGGCGGTGGTGGCAGCGTTGGCGGCAGCGTTGGTGATTGTGGTGGTGATTGTGGTGGTGTTGTTGTCGTAGAGGTGGGAGATATTTTAGTCGTGGGAAACGCGAGGTTAGGAGAGAGTGACCCCCCCCCCGGGTTGAGAGTAATTGGCTGCTCTAAATTTCCACGTGATAAGCCAACTTCGTCGAGCTATCATTTGTGAGGATCGCTTCTGCAAAAAGAGTTACACAGCCACACAGTAGTGGGGCCCTTCCTGGTAAAACAAAAACCTTTGTTTAATTTTATTTTAGTTTTACAAGGGTAGTTAAGAGGCAGAGTTCTGCTGTGGCAACACACGTGTTGCTGATTTAATATTGGATGAAGCGGGCGGCAGTAACCTGCCTTTCCCAAGCCAACTACCAGAGCGCCAGCAATGAAGCCAGATCAGCAGGGATTTGAGCCTGAGCAGTGTCAGGATGGGTGACAGCCAAACGTAAATGTTCATGTTGCAGGCCGTCGTAAATTGGACTGAGACTACGTCTTCTTTAAAGTTGAAGGAGATGACGCGAATGAACGCCGGTGATGACGCTTCGTCGTGCCCTGTTCCGTTCTTAAAGGCCACGTTGTCTTTGCTCTCTGTCTCTCTCTCTCTCTCTGGACAGGGTGTCCGTCAAAGAAGCCAGAGCGTGGAGCGAGTCCCTGGACCGACTGCTCAGCCATAAATGTGAGTCGAGATCCGAGGCTCTGGAAACGGCTGGGATGCGTGGCGAGATTGCGGGACCACATGCGCTCACGCTCGCTTGTGCATGTATGTGGGGGGGGAGTTGTGGTGCAGCGGTTAGCGCACTGCGCTACGAACCGCTGCGGCCCGAATTCGGTTCCCACTCGCGGCCCCCAACACCGATGACGATTATCTGAACCGGTCCTGGGCCTCCCCTAGGTCGACTCCGCCGCAAATGAGGGCCTGGTGCGGTGTGGAGTATACATTGCCACTTGGGAGACAAAGGCGTCCGGGCGTGGTGCTGGCCACCCACTCCCTCGTGTGTCGTGCTATTCGCGAACAGCACTTGCCCCAACAGTCTGTTAAGGCTATAGGGGCGATCTTTGTCTTAGTTGAGATTTTTTGGCGCCGTACGTAGCCAACAGCCACCACCGATGAGCACAGTTGGCTACGTACGGTGCTCAAAGAAGTGCAGCACGCACGCACAGCTGTGCTCATCGCAGGCGCCTCAACCTGCCGTATCAATGTGCTGACAGGAGATCAAAGCCCGATTTGATTATCTTGGCCTCCTTAGCATTTCTCACACACACACATCACATCGCACCCGCAGACATCTGTAAAAGTTACGGCATTTTGACAAGTGGCTGGATGACGGCGAGCTATAGAGGCTGTGTCGATAACACTTCGATGACCACCCTGGTCAGCACGACTTGGTGACGGTGTGAGGCATAGATGAGTGGAGCACAGAAGTACAGTACAATATACATTTTCCCGCACTGCCGTTTGCTGCCTACAATGTAGCTCGAAACTACAAACTATTTATCTTCTTGGTTCTTTCGGTAAAGTCACGTAGAAGAGAAGTAATAAAATAATAAAAATAAAACATAATAAAATAAAATAATATTATTATATTATTATATTATATTATTTTATTATGTTTCACGTAGAAGGGAAGTAATAAAATAATAAAAATAAAACATAATAAAATAAATTATATTATTATATTATTATATTATTTTATTTTATTATGTTTTATTTTTATTATTTTATTACTTCCCTTCTACGTGACTTTACCGAAAGAACCAAGAAGATGAATCCCTGCAGTCACGAAAGCTTTAAATCGAAATTTACAAACTATTTTTTTATTTTACCAGTTAAGGACACACTGAGATGTGCATTTTAGAGTATATTGCTGCTATACATTTTCACTTGATGGTAGGCCACTTCGTTGGGCTATCATTGTAATAGTCTGGCCAGGGCTTCTGAAAAAGAGATAGACAGCCCAGTGGGCCCTTGCCTGGTCAAATAAAAAAAATAGTTTAGTTTAAGTTTAGTAGAGGTTTTTTCAGAAGCGACCTGGCCACTAACGATAGCTCAACGATGTGGCTTATCGCGTGTAAATTTATAGCAGCCAAATAGCTTGAACGCACGTTGATTCCAACTGTGGAGGGAAAATCCGGAGGACCCGGAGAAAAATCCACGTGACCACGGGGAGAGAGCGACACTCAAACTCCAAAAATGCAGCAGGCGTTCGGATTGGTATCAAACCCACGACATCCTGATTACCACCGTTAAGATGTTCAACTACTGAATAGAGACACCTATTGCAAGGCATCAAGTCTGCACTGCCCACACAGATTACTCGCGGCAAAACATGCAAGCAACCATGCTCTGATTAAAAAAAAAATCACGTACGCATTTGTCTTTGAAACTGACAACAAAGACGAAGCAAGTATCAGAGGATTTGTAGCTCGGGTCGAGTGGTTGTACGGTGTTTGAACATCTAAACACAACTCCTGTTTCATTGGCAGAAAGGGTAAAATCCTACTCTTGTTTTTTTCCATCCAGCAATGATCCAGCCTCAATCCGCTTGGCTTGCGAGATTCTGACGCATTCCCGCGGGAGGACTTTAGGTCGACGGGCGCGTCCGGAATGTCTCAGCTTGGTGGCGAGCGTAACGATTTAAGGAGTTGTCGTCTTTTTTTTTCTTCTCTCTCTCTCTCTCTTCTTCCGGGGGGCCGCGGTTTAATTTTTTTCCTTCCACAGATGGGCGGGTGGCATTCCTCGCTTTCCTGCGCACGGAGTTCAGCGAGGAGAACCTGGAGTTCTGGCTGGCGTGCGAGGAGTTCAAGCGCATGAAGGCCGAGTCCAAGCGCCTGGCGCGGGCACGCAAGATCTACTCGCAGTTCATTGCCAACCATGCTCCCAAGGAGGTGAGCCAAATAAGAGTCGGGACTCCGCGTGCGTGCGCGTGGTGTGTGTGCGGAGTGGTGGTGTAACAGTTAGCACGCTGTGCTACGAACCCCGGCCACCAGAGTTCTATTCCCGCTCACGATTGAAACCAGTGACGATTATCTGAACCGGTCCTGGGCCTCTCCTAGGTCGACTCAGACTCAAATGAGTACCTGGTGCGGTGTGTAGTAAACATCGCCACTGGGGAGACTAAGGCGACCAGGCGTGGTGCTGGCCACCCTTCCCCCTCGTGCGCTGTCCTGGCCTTCATAGGTGTTCGCTAACAGCACTTGCCCCAACAGTGTGTTCAGGCGATACGGGGGATCTTTGTCGTTGGTGTGTGCCTGGCCACGTTTTCCATTTATGGAATGCATTCCCGGGTCCAACTTTCTTACGTAACAAACACAACGCGTTCATCAATGATGACACCTTAAGAAGGAAAAAAAAGTGTATGTATAAATATTGTATACTAGGCAACATTCCAGACAGTGTCCCTTATTCAAAGATGACAACTTGTGTGCGTCAGAACGCGATGGCTTAAAATCTGACTGTCTACTGCTGTGTGTTGTGGTGTGGGGAGCGGTGGTGTAGTGGCGAGCTCACTGCGCTACGAAGCCCCGTGACCCAAGTTCGATTCCCGCTCACGGCCAAAACCAGTGACGATTATCTAAACCGATTCAAGGCCTCCCCTAGGTCGACTCGTCCTCAAATAAGTACCCGGTGCGATGTGAAAAACGTCGCCACTGGGAAGATAAATACGGCCGGGCATGGTCCTGGCCCACCCACCCCCTCGTGTGCCATGCCGGCCTTCATAGGTGCTCGCTAACAGCACTTGCCCCAACAGTCTGTTAAGGCTATACGGGGGATGTTTGTATTTTTTTGTGGGGAGTGGTGGTGTAAGCGGTTTGCGCTGTGCTGCACTACCAGCCCTTTTTTTGTTTTGGTATGGAGATATGAAATGTTTTCACTCGTTTAAACTACTTTTAAACAATTTTTATTTCATCAGGGAAGGCCGACTGAGCTATGTAGCTCTTTTTCAAAAGAGACCTGGCCACAAACGATAGCTCAACAAAGTGGCTTATTGTATGGAAATTTATAGCAGCCAAATACTCTAAATGCATGATTGTAAATGTGGAGAGAAAAACATGGAGAAAAAAATCTATTCGGCCATGCGGAGAGAGACACACGCAAACTCCAAATATACAGCAAACGTCAGGGTCGGGATCGAACCCACGACCTCCTGTATACCAGGCGAGGTAGTTAACATCTCCTAGGCACCGGAATGACGATGATGATAGAGAGAAAAGCAAACTACAAATATACAGCAGCAGGCATCGTTTGGGTCGGGATCGAACCCATCTCATAGCCACCGTGGCACCTTTAAGTATCAACTGGATGTATGTACATTGAACTTGTTTTGCACCACCGTACGTAGCCAAGGACAACCAAACGAGCAAGCGGAAGACAAAAAGCGAGGTTTGTCTCTGCAATATCCCATTTCAATGTCACCATTTATCCCACGCTCCCGCAGGTGAACCTCGACTGCCTGACGAGGGACGCTACGGAGGCCGGGCTCCCGGGAGCGGCTCCGGGGGCGTTCGAGCCGGCGCAGAAGCGGATCTACGGCCTCATGGAGCGCGACTCGTACCCCCGCTTCCTGCTCTCGCCGCTCTATGCCCGGCTGTCGGGCCGGGCCAGCAGCTACGACGATGACGATGCCTGAGCGGGGCGTTGCAGGATTTGGGGAGACACCACCCTGGGAGCGAGCGAGCGAGCATCGTCGTTCTGCCGAACTGTCGTTCTGGGCGGGAATGGCCCCAGCCGCGATGCATCACGGCTCCACCGCTGCGTTCACCCGAGGGAGGGAGCCGCGATTGAACTTTTCAGAGGTTTATTTTTTTATGATTATTTTTAGTTTCTCCCCCGTTCCTCGATCTGGGCGAGCGAACGCACTCTCCGCATGTGTTCGCGGCATGGTGGTGACATTGACGAAACACCACAAAGTCAAAGATCCCCCGTGTAGCCTGCAACAGACTGTCGGGGCAAGTTGTGAGCAGCAGCGCCTATGATGGACAGAATGGCGCACGAGGGGGTGGGTTGGCAAATACCACGCCCGGCCGCCTTCGGCTCCCCCAGTGGCGATGTTTACTACACACCGCACCGGGTACTTACTTGAGGCTGAGTCGACCTCAGGGAGTCCCAGAACCGGTTCAGATAATCGTCACACGGTGTTGGCCGTGCGCAGGAATCGAACTCGGGTCACCGGGGTTCGTGGCGCTGCACCACAACCGCTCTCCACCCACTGATGAAACGTGAACAACACCAACAAACAGCCACCATTCGCCACTAAGTGGCGCGGTGACACTCACCAAGGTGCCTGCGCCAGGCCAGGTGCACTTATGAAGAAACGACCTCCCACAGAAGCAGCAACACGGCCAGAGTCAAGTCCCCCAAGCGTCCTGAAGCTGAAATGCGAACCTCAGGCCCATGCACTACCCATTGGGTAGTCCAGAGCCTGGTGGTGGAAAAAGTCCATCACATTCCTGCGGTGCGTGGGAAAACACCACACCTCTTCACCTCGAATGACAACCGGATTCGTGGCTTCCATAGAGGTTCATCATCATTGGTGGATTCTGGGGGGACGAAGATCTGAACGCATGTACAACATTCCCCCCCCCCCCCCCCATTTGCGAGGAAACGCCCCGGCTCTGCCTCGCCGCTGTGGCTCAGACAATTTCTGTGGAGGTGGCGGCGGGGAGGGGGGGGCATTGAAAAATGTTCAGTTTGGCTTTGGTCTCTTAAAAAAAAAAACTGTGATTTGAGTATCGAAAGGGAGGACAATTCCGCGCGTACCGCCCACAAGAGATGAACAACAAACAGAGGTCGACTGTCACCTTTATTGTCACGGGAGGAACGGGAACCTCCGTAGCTCTCGGCCACTTTGGGAACACGTGCGTGTGTGTACGTGTCTGCGTGTGTATGTGTGTGCGTGTGGGGAGCGGTAGCGCAAGCGGTTAGCGCTGTGCTGCACTACCAGCCCAGGGACCCGAGGTTGGATTCCCGCAAACGGCCACCAATGCCGGTGACGATGAATCTGAACCGGTTCTCGGCCTTCCCCTAGGTCGACTCAGCCTCAAATGAGTACCTGGTGCGGTGTGCAAACATCACCACTGGGGAGACAAAGGCGGCCGGGCGTGGCACTGGTCACCCACGTCCTCGTGTGCTGTGCCAACCTTCATCGGTGCTACTCGCTAACAGCACTTGCCCCAACAGTCTGTTAAGGCTACATGGGGATCTTTGTCTTTGTGCGAGTCAGGACACCGCGGGCGGTGATCCAAATGCTGCTTGTGTTGACACTCGCTCACACACGCACGCACAAAACAGCAGCCCGACTGAAGTCGGAGAGACAGCGGTGAAAGCGGGGGATGTGGCAACGCCACAAAACGAGTTGTCATTGGGAGATTGTCGATAACCAACCAATGATTAAATGAACCCGATAATTGTCGAGGCAAAGAACCACTCCGTTAAGCTTGACATACTTTGTTTGGGCATTGAGTCACAGGCCACTTTGCACAGCAGTACAACTTGTATGTACGAGATCTTTTTTTTATTCCCAGTATCAAAAAAATGGTGATAAAAATAAGAATCGGCGTCATGTCCTTTCTGGCAGTAAAACAGGAAATTGATAGCGGCCAAATTTACTCTAAATGCGTGTGTTTATAAATGTGGAAGGACAAAATCGGAGGACCCAGAGAAAAATCCAAGTGACTTCAGGGAGAGAGACACGCAAACTCCAAATATACAGCAGCAGGAGTCTGGGGTCGGGATCGAACCCACGACCTCCTGTATAGCAGGCGAGGTAGTTGACATCTCACAGCCAACGTTAAGATGTTCAAACACTAAATAGACACACACCTATTGCAAGGCATCATCAAGTTTGCATTAAGCACACAGTCCTTGTGGTGAACATGCAAACAAACATGGTTCTGATCATTATAATGTTTTGTGTTTGAAACTGGTTGGCCTACACCAGAGACTGCAGCTTTCTTTATGGCCTTGTCTTTGCAAGCAGTTGTAACAGGATAAGATGAATCCGTGACAGAATGAATGATACATTATGTTAATGTTTAGGCCCATATGTGGAATAATTGGACATGGCTTTGCCCATATAAGGAATACTTAAACAGGAATCGATAGATTTTTGTTACGATACAAAGCTTGATCCATGCTTGATCCGTGCTCGAGCACCGATGGAGCACAGATAAAGCATGAATGATATCTGGATCTAAAGTGACGATTTGTGGATCGAAAAAGCCCACATTAGGCCACCCTTGACGCTGATTGGCTTCCTTATACATTAACATAATTTATCATTGATTCTGTCGCGGATTCATTGTATTTTGTAACAGTGCCCTCTCAAAACCCCCCTTGCAAATCCCACCCACCACTGAATGGGGAAGTCGCTTCTGTCGTTTGGAACTCCACCCCCTCTCCATAATAGAGGTGCATTGCATTTCAAGATCTGGCTGTCGCCTGCTGATGCTGGTTGTAATTATTGGCGAAACGTTGTACTCGAATTGTAAATGTTGTGGGTTTATCCATAACAGGTTTTTGGGTTGTAACTAATTGTCACGTTTTGTTCACGTGACAAACCTTGCTAATTGGCTGTCGAGTGGTGGTGAGTTTAATGACACATTTATATTTACCCGATTTAACTCAAACACTTCTATTATGGTTCACCCCCTCTCTCGGCAAACTCCACCCCCTCCCCACACACACAGACACACAGACCTGTATGAGTCTAAGTTCTAGACCGTTTTTTCTTCCACTGAAGGTTCGAGACCACTGTTCCCACACAGCACGCTAATCTTGTGCAGCATCATGAGGTTAAACGTTGCATTTAAATGCGGTGTAAATTTTAATTTCCATTGCATCGTTTTCACATACAATCGTCAGTGGCACCATGATCTTGTGTGTGTGTACGTTGAATTTCTTTCGCACCGCCGTATGTAGCCAACCGTGCTAATCGGACTAAACACAAAAAGCAGTTCTAAGAAAATAAATGAGTTTGTCAATTTAGATGATGATTTAAAAGTGCATTGCTCCAGGGGCTTCCTAATATCGGACAGAAGAGCGTTCCAGACGGCCGCAGAAGCACATCTGAAAGCACCACTCGGTTAGCCAGAAGCCACGGTTGTGGTTGTTGACCGCACAGAGCCAGGCCGGGTATTTTTTTTTATGATCCGTTAAACTGGGTAACGTATTTGCTTAGAACACTTGCCGATGTTGGTGGACAGAACAAAATTGAGGCCCTCGTTTCGAATGCCGAACCACCCACGCACGCTGGCTGCATAGCTGAACCCTCGTTAGCAAAACACTGGGAACGCAATGAGCTGCTTTATTTAATTACCCTCACCAGATGTTATTGTGTTTTTTATTATCTCGAGAACATTTTGTCTCTGTTGTTACGTACGTGAAACTCAAGTGTAGATCTGGCTGTGCCAACCTATGCTGCGCTCGTCAAACGGTGACATGTTGCGTTCGTGTTACAGCATTTTGTACATCCTGAATAAATTTGAAAAAAAAACCAGCTGAGAGAATTACCCTCCGTCTTGGTTGACCGTGCACAATGTATGTCCCCTCGACCAAAATGAGTACAGGAACTGCTCTACTTAGGACTTAGGAACGAGTTCGGTTCCAGAGGTCTGTTCGTAAGTCGATTTGTTCGTAAGTATAAACGTTACTCCCGTCTATTCCAAAAGTGTTGTACGGGGAATGGCTTTAAAAGTTGTATAATCTCCTGTAGATGTAGATGTCACTGGCTCTTCACGTTCTGAAAATGTAGATGACACCACCGCCATCTATTGAACTTATGTATCGGTTCAAACAGGCAACTGGACGTACGGACCAGGTTTGTTTATATCTCTGAAAAAGTCGAATGTTCGTAAATAGAGGAGTCCTTGTACGTTGAATATTCTCACCATTATTACTGGGTCAATGAGGAGGCTATCATGGAGGCTCAATGCTTGACCGATAAGTATTAGCCTGCCTGGAGAGGAGAGATGTTTTAAGGTGATTCTTTCCCCAACGATATAAACTGCAAACTATTTGTTTATTTTACCAGGTAAGGCCCCACTCAGCTGCTATCACAAATGATAGCAGGTCAGCGAAGTGGGCTTATCATCATCGTAATCACGTGGAAATGTATATCAGCAGCCAAATGCTCTAAACCCGTGATGTTGGTACGAATTGTGGAGGGAAAAAACCGGAGCAACCCAGAGAAATACCCACACGACCACGGGGAGAACGTGCAAACTCCAAATATACAGCAGGCGTCAAGGGGTGGTATAGAACCCACGGCCTCCTGTATACCAGGTAAGGCAGCGAACATCAAGCTACCGTGATGATGATGAGAGAGACACGCAAACTCCAAATATACAACAGGCGTCAAGGGGTGGTATAGAACCCACGGCCTCCTGTATACCAGGTAAGGCAGCGAACATCAAGCTACCGTGATGATGATGAGAGAGACACGCAAACTCCAAATATACAGCAGGCGTCAAGGGGTGGTATAGAACCCACGGCCTCCTGTATACCAGGTAAGGCAGCGAACATCAAGCTACCGTGATGATGATGAGAGAGACACGCAAACTCCAAATATACACAAGGCGTGAGGGTCGGGATCGAACCCACGACCTGTATACCAGGCGAGGTAGTTAACATCTCCGAGCCACCGTGGAGCACCAGTTGAATGCCTGACATGCATCCCTCCCGCTGCTCATGATCTTTAAATTTGACGCCAGCACCAGGGTACACGAAGTGGCTTTCGTGCAACTAAATTTTCGGATGCTCTATTTGAGGACACCTCCGCGTTCCGACACTTCTTGCTAAACGTGAACCCGACACGGGGAATGTCCAGCGTGTTGCGTGGCTACGTAAGAGGTGCAAAGGGATTACTCAGGCTCGCACGATTGGCTTCCCGATAGTATAGATGGGTGCCTCAATCTATGGCAGGACACAAAGCAGGGCTGTGTGTGTGCGCGCGGAGGGCAGAGGAGCGACGCTCACAACAATGAGCAGAGTGCCGGGTGGATAAAACACAGCAAGTTGGCACAGTGGGGGGTACAGGTGGTGCATCGGCCAGTCATCTCAGTCAACCCATGGAACCTGGGTCTGTCCCGTGACCTCCTGTCAGCGGGTGTTCGACGCTTCACGTGGCCTTAACGTGCACATAGACTGGCACAAGCGCCGTCACCGCCACTTAGTGGCGAATGGCGGTTGCTGTTGTGCGCACCTTGGGGGCGTCCATAAATGACGTCACGCGATTTCGGACGATTTTTGACCCCCCCCCCCCTCGTTACACGGACGCACAAAAAGTCAGACCCCCCACAAATATGACGTTATGACGTCACAAAGCTCCGCCCCCCCTCCCCCCAAAACCATATATCCATTTTGAAAATAAAACATGCTTCAAATCGCTTTAAACTATTGTCATTGTAGTGCGTATTTAATGTGGCGCTGCACTCTGATGTTGGGGGAGAAAACATTTATTAAAAAGTCTATTTAATTAAGTAGAACGTGTTGTCTATATTAAAAGTTGCGCATTTTGATGTAACGGCACATTTCTCACCCCCCCCCCCCCCTCGTCACACATCGTCACAAATGTCTGACCCCGCCCCCCCCCCCCCCTTAGGTGCGTGACGTCATTTATGGACAGGCCACTTGGTGAAGAGTGTTGCTCTATGCCACGTGGACACGAATCTCACAACTGGAGCATAGAAAGTGGTGAGGATGATGCAGCCGCAGGTGACGTCAATCGTGAATCATCGCATCATCATCATCAATGTCGTCATCATCGCCGAGCACGTGGGGGCCATGACGTGTCGGGTTGTCTCTGATCGCTATTGCAGATACACAATATGCCCTTCTGGAATAACGTTTTTGTCGATTCACAAACAGAACACACCGCAGGCACCACTCATCGTCTCCGAACTTTATTATGTTCATTGCTGTTGTTATTGTTGTCTATTCAACCGACGGGAGGAAAGTGAACGGGGCAGACCTGGTACGTACGCTTGATTTCAGTGTCAAATATTACTGGTAGGAACGAAGTGGACCAGCCTACAATAGATTATATCGTCCGTCCGATGTCCGATTACGTGTAGCAACATCGCCCCCTACTGAAAACACTTGGCATGACCCTAGAGAGGCTTTTTGTTTTCTCTCTCTGCCTGTGTCCTCTCTTTGGAATTTTCACACTTAAATTCTAACTCAGCAATCTTTGAAATACGTAATCAACCGGGCTATGGGTTGTGTTGACCAACTCTCTGTGTTGCATTACATTACATTTCGATATTTTACTAGGTTATTTAATTTTAGTGTCTTTCTCCTAATTTTCAAGCTTGCGTACCGTACCACGTCGTCGTCCACTCATTGACATGCAAATTTTTTCTCTGCCCCCTCCCTCTCTATATTTAAGGCCTCGTCACAGAAACGACCTCTCTCTTTCTGCCGATACGTGTTCTCTCTGTGTGTCTTTGTGATGTCTGTCTGCTTGTGTGTCTGTCTATAGTTTTCTGGTTAGATTTTTGTTGCCATTTCTTTTATACCTGATGATGATTGCTTGTGTTGCAATCGAAACGTCGTAGTATGCTATTATTTAATTTATTATTTTATCTTTATACGTGACTTAACCGAAAGAACCAAAGAATAATTCCTGCAGTCACGAAAGCTCCAAAATTGACGTTCTACTTAATTAAATTTACTTTTTAATAAATGTTTTCTCCTCCAACAGAGTGCAGCGCCACATTAAATACGCACTACAATGACAATAGTTTAAAGCGATTTGAAGCATGTTTTTTTTTTGGGGGGGGGGCAGCTTTGTGACGTCATATTTGAGGGGGGGGGTCTAACTTTTTGTGACGAGGGGGGGGGGGGGTCATAAATCGTCCAAAATCGCGTGACATCATTTATGGACGGCCCCTTACGTGACACAAACCGTTACCAATTGGCCGTGGGGTAGTGGTGGCGGGTTTATCGATCACGGTGGCCTGCGGATGTCAATTACCTCGCCTTGTGTGCAGGGGGTTGTGGGCTCCATCCCGACCCTGACGATACCTGCTGCTGTAGATTTGGAGTTTGCGTGTCTCTCTCTCATCACCATCACGGTGGCTAGATGTTAACTACCTCGCCTGGTATGCAGGTTATGGGCTCGATCCCGACCCTGACGATGCCTGCTGTAGATTCGGAGTTTGCATGTCTCTCTCTCATCACCATCACAGTGGCTAGATGTTAACTACCTCGCCTGGTGTGCAGGAGGTTGTGGGTTCGATCCCGATCCTGACGATGCCTGCTGCTGCTGTATATTTGGAGTTTTCGTTGGCGCCAAACCGCGACGAGACCTCTTTGCGACAGCGTTGGCATGAACCACTCTCGCTGCCATCCCAGTAGTGGCGCGTCTCCAGCGGTTTGTCGGTCCACGAATTACGGGGGGTGGTGGGTGGCGCCATACCCGAGGGTCGAGGTCCTCACTTGGAATGTCCACCGCCAACAACCAGTGCGCTATTCGTGTGTAGTGTAACACATTCCTGCAGAGGGAGCTGCTAGGAACGTTGGGTTGCTCGGTCAATAGCCAGGGTCAACGGCGGCGTGGTGTATTCCGCAAATATGCCTGACTGTGAGGGTGGGCACAAGCCGGCGTGAGTAGGTTAAACGTTGAGTTTTATAAGGGCACCACGGGGTGACCAGGGCACCCTCCCCACCCAGCCCACCCACCCAGCCCACCCTCCCCACCCACCCAGCCCACCCTCCCCACCCACCCAGCCCACCCTCCCCACCCAGCCCACCCCTCTCCACCCTCCCCACCACTCTCCACCCAGCCCCTCCCCACCCAGCTAGTGTAGTGTATTGGGGCCGTCCATAAATGACGTCACGTGATTTTGGACATTTTGACTCCCCCCCCCCCGTCCCCTTCGTCACAAAAAGTCAGACCCCCCTCAAATGACGTCACACAGCTCTGCCCCCCCCCCCCCCAAAAAAAACATCCTTCAAATCGCTTTAAACTATTGTCATTGTAGTGCGTATTTAATGTGGCGCTGCACTGTTGGAGGAAAAAACATTTATTAAAAAGTAAATTTAATTAAGTAGAACGTGTTGTCTGTCTGTATTTAAAGTTGCGCATTTTGATGTGACTTCACATTTCTCATCCCCCCCCACCCCCCCGTCAATCGTCACAAATGTCTGACCGCACCCCTAGGTGCGTGACGTCATTTATGGACGGCCCCATAGTGCAGTGTATTCATTCATCACGCAGTCAGCGAAGGACTGCTGTGCCAAACGCGTGACCTCCTGCGACACCGTTCGCATGAACCGCTCCCGCTGCCATCCCAGTAGCGGCGTCTCCGCTGTCGCCAGCGATTTGTTGTCCGGGGGGTGGTGGGGGGACCACGGGGGAGGGCAGCGACATTCTCTCTGAGGGTGCGGTCCTCACTCGGAACGTCGACCGCCAACAACCCACGCGCGTTCTTCGAGGGGGGCTCTGCTTGCAACCCTTCTAACACACTCGTTGTATGTGGCTGGGCACTGCGTTGTTGCGACGTTTCTAATGCATGCAAGTCGAGTGACCTTTTCCCATTCTGTTTTTGTTGGTTAAACACGTCGCAGTAGGCTGTCGCGACCATGGGTTACGTCACGTAAATTTTTAACTATTTTTATTTCACCATGTGAGGCCCACCGAACTATATCGCTCTTTTTCAGAAGGGGCCTGGCAATCACAAGTCACAGCTAAACGAAGTGGCTTATCGCGTGTACATGTATAGCAGCAGTCAAATACTGTAAACGCGTGTTTCTCAGGTGCTAAAAAAAAGTTGTGAATCCAAATGGCAATCATGGCAATTCCAGTTTTACCACGATGGCCTTTTCTTATATATCCAAGTGTTAACATCAACAAATTCCATGTATTTTGAAACAAAATGATGAATTAAACGAGTAATCAAGGTTCAGTATATGTCAAAAAGTGAACACCTGGTTTCATTAGCTCAATTAAGGGAATAATTAAAATCAGGTGTTTAAATAACTAAGTAGACCTTCAGGGGTGAGTTTCGGAGGCCCCACCCGATATGAAGATCAGGAACTTTGTGAGTTTGGTCTTCACCATACAGGTGTGGAAACAGGTCATGCTACGGATCAAACAAAATGAGGTCTTCAGAAAGAGTAATTGACGCTCAGTCAATTAAGGACCACAATCACTACCCAGGAGTGGTCGTCCTACCAAAATCTCTCCAAGAACAGGAAAATCATCCAAGAGTCACAAAAAAGCCCCAGAAAAACATTCAAGGATTTGCAGGCCACTCTCGCTTTGGTTAATGTGAGTGTTCATGACTCAACTATCGGACAAATAATTAATAACAATGGTGTTCATGGAAGGATAGCAAAGCGAAAACTGCTCGCCAAAAAGAACATTGCTGTTTGGCTGCTTTTCGCCAGAGCACATCAGAGGATCCACAAGACATTTAAAACAATGTTCTCTGGACAGACGATTCACAAGTATAACTTTTTTGGCCTCAATGAGAAACATTGTTTGGCAAAAATCAAACATTGCTTTCAAACACAATAACGCCATCCCAACCGCAAAGCATGGTGGTGGGAGTGTGATGGTTTGAGCTGTTTTTGCTGCCTCAGGACCTGGACGGCTTATCCATCGCCGACACCACCATGCATTCTGCATTGTATCAGAAGATTCTAGAGAATGTCAGGCCATCTGTCCGTGAGCTGACACTGAACCGAAAGTGGGTCTTGCAGCACAATCATCCTAAACATACAAGCAGATCTACAAAAGAATGGCTGCAGAAGAAATTCCGCGTTTTATCATGGCCTAGTCAAAGTCCGGATCTAAACCTCATCGAAATGTTGTGGCAGGCGACCCTCAAATGTCCGAGTTGAAGGAGTTCTGTAAAGAGGAATGGGCCAAAATTCTTCAAATCCGATGTGAGAGATTGACCAACCGGTTACAGGAAATGTTTCGTTGCAGTCATTGCTGCTCAAGGGGGTATCACCAGTTACTAAATCTAAAGGTTCATATACTCTTTCACACATGGTTATTGAATGCAGAATCATGATGAATAAATGTTGAGTTTCACTTTGTGTCATTTGTTTAATCAGGTTATTTTGTTAAATGTATTATTAGGACTTAGATTCATAGATTCAATAACATTTTAGGTTTGAAATATGTGAAATGTGAAAATCCTAAGGGGTTCACAACATTTTTTGGCACTGTAAATGAGAGAAAAGCCGGAGAACCCAGAGAAAATTCCACGCGACCACAGGGAGAACATGCAAACTCCAAATATACAGGTGTCAGGATCGAAACCCACGACCTCCTCCATACAAGGCAATGGAGCCAAAATCTCCTTGCCACTGTTATGGCGAGGAGGTATGGTTTGTCACGTAAACAAAACATGCCAATTAGTTACTAGTTCAGCACACACGAGTTGTAAGAGTACTGTAGACATTTCGACCAGCCCTGTCAGGCGAAAGCCAGAGTTGTGGAGAAATCCTGTTACGGAGTTCTTAATAAAGAAACGGAGGGTCATTATTTTGATTAATTTATAAACGAATATTCATTTCACGGTCTTGTTCGGCGACCCATAGGTGGGTTCACGCCCCAGTTTTGGAACCGCCGCTGAGCTCGCGGTGGCTAGGGGATGTTAACTACCTCGCCTGGTATACAGGAGATCGTGAGTTCGATCCTGACGCCTGCTGTATGTTTGGACTTTACATGCCTCTCCATGTGGTCGCGTGGATTTTTCTCTGGGTCCTCTGGGTTTTCCCCTCCATTTAGATACATGCGTTTAGAGTATTTGGCTGCTATAAATGTCCACGTGATAAGCCACTTCGGCGAGCTATCAATAGTGTTTGCCAGGTCGCTTTTCGAGAGATCAATGTAGCTCAAAGTTTGTTTTAATGGAGGCTCCCTTCTACTAGTAGTGGAGGCATCACAGGTATGGATCTTTAACTTGAATATTGATAAGACAAACTCCCAAATCGAGAACTTAACTGAATGAATACACAAGACAAACTTGCTGCCTTAAGACCAGATCCCAACCATGGTCCATCCAGTGCTCACGTTGCTGCATCGGATTCCGGTTGCCAAACAAATTCGTGATAAGATCGCAATCATCACACATACAAAGTGCTTGCCACAAATTAACCACGATACTTCGCCGATCTCAAGGAGCATAAACCATCACGCGAACTCCGGTAATCCTCGCAGCAGCAGTAGCTTTTGGATAACCGTCAAACAAAGACGGTGGTCACCGCATCACTCGGAGCAGTCAGATGCGCTTCTGCGGCTGTCTGGAACGCTCTTCCAAAATTAGCAAGCCGCTGGAGCTATGCACTTTTAAATCAGCGAGATTTAAAACTAAAATTATAACCGCTTTTGGTGTTGTCCTTCCCCCACACATCCGTTAAGCACGGTTGGCTATGTAGTGCGAAAATACGAACATACCACCACCGCCTATCAAGCCACTGGAGCTATGCACTGTTAAATAAACGAGATTGAAAACTAATTTCTTTAGAACGGTCCTTCCCCCCCGCGCCTCAAATGAGCACGGTTGGCTAACGAAGTGCGAAAGTTCACTCAAATCTGGGTTTTCCTGGCTTGTGGAAGGCTGCCTTTCTTCACATAAGCCACACTGCTGCACACTGCTACAGGAATTTGCCGCAATGCATCGAAAGCTACAGAGCAAAACAGATCGAGAGAAAAATAATCGTCAGTCCCCAATTTATTGATTTCACACATGGACAGACATACAAAGGAGAATGATTTCATGTCCTAGGCAGTTAGTTCATTTAAGCATTTTAATTATTGCATTTAAGACTCGAAACATTCAACTTTAGCCAACGTGTTCAATAACTGGTAAAGCTACGAGTAAATTAAATCGCAAAAAGACTTCCTAACACTGTCCATATGTATGTGCGGTTCTGCATATTCACTTCTAATGCAACTTTATAAATTGAAATTCAGTGATCAATATCAAACAAAAAATTTTCACTCAGCATTTTTGTTAACATGCCATCGTGTATACGACTCATACTTTTAGCAATTTTGGATAAAATAACGTAAACGCAAAAGTGTTGCACGACTTGTTTTAAAATGTGTTCATGCATTTAAATAATTTTAACTTCAGTTATCTCGAAATATTTGTATGTTTTCCACCAACCTGAGAGATGAACGTTTCTGGGCAAAACCTTTTTTTTTTTTACCCCCAAGGACTCCTAAGCATTTCAAAATTGGTGTCATTTTTTAAGTGGCAATAAATGTTGTGCTGGCAAGTGTAGAAGCGGGAAGGACACAGTTGACGCTACACACAAATACTTCCACAAGCCGACCTGCAGACTCAAAAAAATAAAGGAACAGTCCTGTTGGTCTCACACAAACAATGCAGAAACACACTTCAGTGAGGAGGGCGAGTGGGAGATATAAGAGGCGATGAAGTAACCGTGCAAGGGTTGAATCGCGTACGGCAGGAAAGAGAACTTCCAACGTTCATCCAAGGGGCATTTACCACCAGCGAATGATATTTCACCACGAGTTTACCCAAGGAAAGCTTGACCGACTCGCAAGGGACCTGCTCTTCAGAGCAGGACCGACTACTCTCCCAGCCTCAGCTCTTGCGCTCGACGCTGGGAATGGGCTTCTCAAGCACTCCACCAAAAAATTTGGAATGCCTTGCCGGCAGTGATCTGGCATGCTATGGGGGGGCGGGGGCTCGGTGTGTTTAAGAGGGAGCGCAAGACTCACGATTTTATCACGGCTTTAATTGCAAAGACATTTCATTGTCTTTGCATTTTATTTGTGTAAAAATTTTCAATAGCCGAGTGGAGGTCTTATTACATTTAAGATAAATACGGTTAATATCATTGTCAGGAGGGTCCTGCCAGGTTTTTTTTGCAGTAAGGGAGCGATGGTTGCTGTGTAACAAGAGTTATTTGTAGATACGTTTCAGCTTTGGGATTTTCTGGCCCAAACCATGACATGAAATGCGTTTTTTTTCTCTTTCGCGAAATGTAATTAACCACCGCTTAAGTGTAATCGGCACAAATAATTAAGTACATTTGGCATTGGCGCCATTGTTATAGCTCAAGGCGTTGTTCATAGATGGATAGTCTGCCAGAAGGGGGTGGAGAGGGGGTGGGGGCGCTAAGTAGATTTTAATTCAGTAATTTGCAAGAAATTTTTCACAATTGGTAAGTTGTACCCATGACGCCAGCGCGAACACTCGTGAGCTTACCTTTCTTTTTTTAGAACTGTCATGGAGATAATTAATTACCAAGCAGACGGCGAGTTAAAATGTTGGTCTATACGTTGTTGATTTACTCCAACACACCGGTGGGCTGTAGTTAACTTTGTTTACACGGCAAACCTTACTAATGGGCTGTTGGGTGGTGGCGGGTTCATGACACATATACTTACGCAATCTAACCCAAAAAACCGTGATAAGTACAGTTTGGTTCTCCTATAACGTGGTGGTGGTAGTGGTTACATACCTGAAGAATACTGGTAATATATTGTTATAATATAGGGGGTAAAGCACGCAAGATACGCACGCAAGATACGCACGCAGGCTGAACAAAGACTGTGGGCACGTGGTGGGGAGAATTTAGATGTATCCAGCAGTATCCAAATGTCTCCTGCGATGATTCTACCCCGAAAAATCTGCTGCACGACCACTTATTTCTACTTGCGCGAGGTAGTTCCGTTAGCTCGGATTGCATTATATATCCATTTCGCATCCGTGTTACAAAAACCGTGTTCTCCAATTACATTCATCACATTGTCTAAATCCAATTTGCGTTCTGAAAGCGACACGCGGCGTTATAGAACAGACTGTGTACACCTCACTGGAACTGCATTTGCAACAACCAAATGGGCGCAGTGTCCATACGCAAGTGAAGGTGACGCTGCCGAGGATTGCATTCGCTTGGTGGATAATTTGTGTCGCCGTGTGGGAATTTTGGTTCGTCTTAAGTGATTTTGCTCTCTTGCTACAGGATAGTGAAAGATCCACCAGTGGACGCAGGTCACATGGACCCCTCCGTGTAATTTCCATGCTCGAGTTTTTTTTTTTAAGATGTGTTTTATGCACGCGTTTGCGTCTGCAATAATTGGTATGGGGAAGTGGTTGTGGTGTAGCGGTTAGCCCACCGTGCTACTAAACCGGTAACCTGGGTTCGATTCACGCTCATAGCCAACACCAGCGACCATATGAACTGGTCCAGGACCTCCCCGAGGTCGAGACTCGGCCTCAAATGATGCGGTGTGGAGTAAACATCGCCACTGGAGAGACAAACGTGGTCGGGTGTGGTTGCTGGGCACCCACCCATCAGTGTACCCGTGCCAAGCTTCATAGGTGCTGCTCCTCGCCAACAGCACTTGCCCCATCAGTCTGTTGAGGCTATACGGGGGATCTTTGTCTTTGCAGTCATCGGTGATGCAGTTGGACCCTTAAAAGGCGCCCAAAAACGCCTTAATACTTTGTGAGGCTGTTGCCAATTCCCTTTTTTTAGAGGTTTTTCATTTGTGTGCTGAGAAAAATCCCACACCGCCCCCAATAAAACTACACCGCACCTTTCTGGAGGAAAACGCTGCCGCACAACTGGTTATATTAGCCTGTCTGCAACCTTGCTGCACAAGCATATCACTAGAAAGGCACCAAACCATGCTGCCAAGGCAGGTGCCTAACATCATTCTCTGGCAGTGGTAATGGGCCCCCCCCCTATGGTGTAAAGAAAAGCCCTCTCCGTGCGATGCTCCCAATGGCATATACATAAAATATATGGCAAGCAGGAAACATCGACGCCTTTACCGTACGAGTCCCTATGAAAACCGGTCTACAGCTCTGTGTCACTGCTGTGCACGGTTGGGAATGGCCACACATTCTTGGTGATCGAAAATGACATGGCCACAAGCAATTCTCTTTGGAGCTGTGTACATGCAATGCTGTACACCTGTTTGTTGTTAAATCTCCAATGCTGCTGCTGCTGTTGCGTAGGTTTCCACAGGTTGTGCTGTATAGCTATCAGATGCTTTTTGGAGTTCGGCATTGAGATTTCACTCCGCACGCGAGGAGAGCCTTATCAGTTATTCGATTTCAAGAGGAGGAGCTTTCCCAAGTGTGCAGAGAAAAACAAACGTCGGGAGATAGTGCCGCTCAAACCTGAAAACGCATGGGAGAGAAAACGAGGTGATGATGATACTAACACTTCACTGTAAACCAAAGGGGGTCTCTTGTGTGTGTGGTGCAGGTCAGAGCTGTTGGCTCTGTAATTCACCATTCCACTTAGAAAAAATATATGGGCAGCTCGGAGACCAAGCATTGGAGGGGTGCCCAGACCAGTCAACCACGGGGATGGCGGGGGGGGGGGAAGCCATAAAGCCCGATATGGTGGTGACCACAAACCAAGAGCGGGTTTGCCCTTTACAAGCCGAGGTGCGGCGGTGACAAAACCGAATTGGCCGTGACCACCTCCTGGGAGGGACGTGGGGAGCCCCGCTGAAGCTACGTTACTTACACGCATCGCGAAATTCCCCGTGCGGCTTTGCCCGAGGTCTCGCTTGTTAAAACGGCGTTATTCTAAGGCACGATAAGCAAAGTCACAGGGCGTTTGAAGATGATACCCAGCTGCTGCCCTGGCCACTATTTCGCTTTCGGTCCGTACAAAGGTATGGTGCATCTGTCAAAACTTGCACTTACTGGTAGCGCACGCACACACATGTATATATTACACATGTATACACATCATGTATGACAAAACCTTAAAATACCGCAACGTGAAATATCCAACCAAATACCCATAACTCAACATGCACACACTACATCAACTATTAACGCAACTGAAAGACATTCAAATTGGCTCTAGCTCTACGAGGAGTTTCAAAAACACTGTGGAACTAAATAAACATTACGACTTTCCATCCAGTAGCACAAATGCGAACGATTCATTGCTTTTAAACTGCCAAGTTTAAAGATTATCTGAAAGACTCGCAGGCACGAACAGGTCACAGCCAGAAAGGCTGCCGTCAATTTTGGTGTAAAATTACCAAATAATTTTGATAACTGGCACAATTCACAAAGCTGGGTAGTGGCACATTTAAAACTTAAGAGAACCAGGCAATGCATCTGCCAAGCACTGACGACAATTACTAACTTGATGGGCACGTGGGATTGGTCCCCCTGAGGTACGAGGGCTTGGGAAAGGAGGAGGAGGAGGCATTGAAATGCACACAGTAGTTAAGGAAGAAATAATCACAAGTACTTTTTTTTCCGTTTACGAACTTTTCGGGGGCATATATGCACAAGGCATTTGTCAATAGTTATTTTTTTAAATAAACACTACAAATAACATTGATAAAAAATAAACACTTGCATTATTGTAAGCATATTAAAACATATTTGCTGTGGAAAGTTAGCATTTTCTAGACTATAACAAGAGATTTTAAACCGGAAGAACTGGACATTACTTTGAAGATCTAACATTTTACATACTTAAGACAAGCATGAAATATAAAATCAGCGCAATTGGAAAATACTGCAACAGCACTTCAATAATACTTCAAATGGCAACAGCTGTATTGCACATTATAACTGCAAAGACTTTTTAAGAATCATACATTACAGATATTCAATTCGTCACTGGATAATTGCAACTGTTAAAGATACTCTACATAGACTATAACGGCAAGATTCAATGCACACTGTTACGAACAATGCGGCATAAACATTAAGGCGGCGGTGTTAGAAATGCACAAGTATGATTGTGACGATTAACTTTTGTCGAGTCCATACTCACAGAACTCCCTATGGGGGGGGGGACGGCTCCAAGATTGGAAAGCTACTGCAACATCTGTGCCAGAACAACAACGCTCGCTGTGCCATCGCGACTCGACACCACAGCAGCAGCACCACCACCACCACGCTGACCCGAAGCCACTCTTTATCACTTGTTTTTAAATACTCGTCAATTGAAGCAGGTTTTTTTAAAAGAGCAATGCGGAGGGGGAGGGGGGAACAAGCCAACACGCTCGTATGCATTCACAACGATGTTCGATCTTAAAATCTTCGATTAAATTTAACGAAAAAAACTTTTGGTACTTGGCGCATGTGAAAAGCAACGCTTTGCAGTCTCTACGGCAACATAGGCAAAACAGCGACATTCTAACGTGAAGTTAAACAGGACATCAAAACACAACCTGCCGAAACTTAATGACAGTAACTATGCTCAACCGAGCGGTCATGCTTTTAACGGCACATCACTCTCACCTTGATGCGTAGATGGCTCAAAGGTAAATTAACAAAACTGGACAAGATCTAAAAAAACATCTATGAAATACGTTAAAGCGTTTCGACTTGGCGTCAAACTGAAAGGTAGCAATTTCACAGTTGTCTTTGGCCACACAGACCACTTAGGAAATGGAATGAGACAGCAGCATCAGGCTGGCGTCACGGCAAACCGTTTATCAAGTTATAAGTTGCGTGACGGAAATGATTACGAGCTAACATTTGTTTAAAAAAAACGTCAACCAGGTGACCACAACTCACCTTGAGAGAAACTTGAGAAAACAGCCTAAAAATGGAATTGAAGAGACCAATTGAGATGAATTGTACTGACGCAAAAAAATATGCAGTTACTGGAATTCGACTTTTCTTTAAGATATACTTTGCGTAAAAATGTTTTACTTACACCGATCACAGGCAACAGCATTAAACTAATCTGTACGATTTCCGCTGACGACAGCATTTTTCTAGTGTAACAATATCTACTTTCATAGGCATTGAAACAACGTACTACTGTTCTCACGAAATTAGCACTATGCATTTGAAAGACTTTGGAAAATATTACATTCGTCAAAATTAAACTCTCTGAATAAGAGAAAGCATACATTGGAACTACGATTGCACTGCATGCTGTATATATGAATACATTATATTGAATACTAAAAAATGCACAGGATTCCAAAATATTGTAAACAAAATCTGAAATTTTAAGTGCACATGCATACGTTTCAAAAACTGTCCTGCATTAAAACAGCAAATTATCGAATGCATGTCATCAATTTAAGGGCACATAAACAAAAGCATTAGTGGCCTTTGTTACCAAATTAAAATACTGTGGGGGTAAATTAAGCTATGATACTCACCTCCCTAAAAAACACGAAATAAAAACAGAAAATAAAGACTATAGTTAGTAATCAAAGCATTGATACACTGTTGACTTCAGCAATAACTAGTAGGTAATATTAAATGTGAATATATCTAATGTTAAATTGACTGGGCAAGACACTTTATACAAAAGGGCTAATAATGTAAGCAGTGGTAAGGTAAAAATTCACAAAAACTGTAGCATTTTTCTCAATTAACTGCACGCAAAACAATACTGTGACTAATTCAAACTATTAAGCAAACTACTGCCACTTTCAATCAGTCACAAGCATGGCATTATACTCAAAGCACAATGACATTGTCGAGAAATTAGTCATAAAAGTCTGCAAATAACTCCAACATGTCAATAATTCTACAAAATGGCATCAAAATGCATTCAATAAGCATGGAACTTCGGTCACAATTATCTAAATATGCATCACAGAGTGTTAAAATAAGTCCGTCGCTTTACACCAAGTCCGAGGCACGAATTAAAACTGTAGAATTGGACAACTGTAATCAGCGGCCGCGACGCATAACCACTTTAACGCCGTCAATGTTTTCAAAACGTTAAAAGGGACGCAGAGCGACCCGTCAAATACTCCAAAGACGTGCATGGGGCTTAAGTTAGCGACAGGCACAAATTACTCGCCGGCGTGAATTAAAAACTCCAGACTTTTGACGATGACTGCAACCAAGCTCGACGCTCAAAAAAGCGGAGTGACAAAACTGATTTTAGCGCGGCAGACAGTAAAACATCACATCTCCGATTAATTAGTACGGTCGGCTATGTACGGTGTGTGAAAGTTCACACAAACATTGGATGGATGTAGCATAGCTAAATTTGGAGCCACAGTGGCGAGACGTTACCTCCCTTGCCTGGTACATACAGGTCATGGTTTCGATCCCGACCCCGACGCCTGTTCTCCCTGCGGCCGTCTGAACTTTTCTCCGGATCCTCCGGTTTTTCCCTCCACATTAAGTCACAACATCAAGTGTTTAAAGAGCAATTGGCCGCTGCTATAGATTTTAAAGCGACGAAAAGCCCACGACGTTGGGCTGCTATCGTTTGTGATAGCAAGGTCGATTCTGATAAAAGATACACAGCAGCTCAGGGGGCCTTACCTGGTAAAATAAGAAAGTTTATTTTTAGTTTACCTGGAAAGAGGCCAAAAGCCTGCACTAGTTGTGGCTACAGAGTCCCCGATAACCCATTGTGGGGGTGGGGGAGAGGAGGAAGGGGGGGGCATCATCGCCTGTTTCAAGCACGTTGCCTCCACTGGAAAAACACTCGCGGCACACGGGCGGGGTTCGAACAGAGAATCACTTTGCAAAGTGGAACATAATATAAAGCTTTTTCAATTTACGTTTCGGCATGAGGGCCGCGTAGTTTCTTAGATGTTGCTGAGCAGGAGGCGAAACACACGTTTCTTTTGATCATTTCCTACATGAGTGTGTTGACATGTTAAGTTTAAATCAATGAATTTCAATCTGGTGTCCACTATTAAGATTGGGGGAATTCACTGTTTGTATTACCTGAATCATGAGGACCAACATAATTATTGTTACTAGTTCCTTCACATGACCAATGACAGTACATTAAATGCTCCACAATCTTTACACATTGAGTTGGGCCCACCACGATTCGATTGTCTACAGAGAAATCGGCAAGAATTAATTTTTCCAACTCAAGCGGCCACCCCATTTCTCCTCGAGTCCATGGACGAGAGCGATCGTAAGCTGTACAAAGACAAGCCACTTGTTGTGCATTATTCTACTTGTAGGACCACGAGTTAATGTCCTCGAGGATAGCCCAATGCTGGTGGACACGATGGATATCTCTCTCGTTAATTGACGCTATCGGAAACCTTTCGTTTAACATAGGCTTTTCGCTGGGTACGGTGGAGTGGCTTCGCATAGCTCACGGATAAGCCACACAACATATACATGCGCCCAAAGCTAAATTAAGTGCTCCAAATGTCCCTGCAGCAGTTTGGCACGAGGAGGCTCTTGCGTCTCTGTACAAGGCATCCCATTGTCCTTGTAAAGGAGAACATCATCTGTCAATCCAATTTTACGACTGATTTGGTGATAAAATGTCTACACGTGAGATCACCAACACCAACGTTTCACCAATAGAGTTAAACTTAAGCTCCTTAATAAACTGTGCTCACACACGCACACATACGTGCTGCATATATAATGCTCAAGCTATGTCTAGACTTTACAAGGCAAACAAAAGCTTAGTAGGAATCTTAAAAAAGCTCGCACACATACATGGTAAGGTAAAAACTTTTGAGGCCAATTTTGCAACCGGCGGCAGCGGCATGGAAAAAGACCTTTTACGCGTTAAAACGGCCTCGGAAAGAGGCACAAGGCACATCGCATGGCAGGAGACACGCACTGGAAATGACTTAAAACACGCTGCAGAGAAAGACGAAAACGGGAGAGACCTCACTTTAATAGAACGCAAACACACTGCACGGAGCAGGGGGTGGTGGGGGGGGCAGGTAACACACCGCAACGTCACACAGTCGCAGCACCGCCAACGAGCACCGACTCGGGGGGGTTAAAACCGGGGTTTGTTTTGGGACAAACATATTTATTCAACGACATAAAACGCATCATACACACAGTCGTGTCACATTCTTTTTTTTGCTACGGAACCTCCCAGCCCTTGTCTGTGTGACCGGTGCTGCCGCTCTGTCAAGATGTGGTGCGCGGTGCGACTGCCCCCCACCCGCCCATGGCGCCATTCCTGAAACTGTTGTCCCACCGTATAAAATGTCAAAGGTTGAGGTGGTGCTGGATGGACAAGGACGTGGAGGGGGGGGGGAAGGAGAAATGAAAAGAAATCGGCAAGAAAATAACACCCTAAATACAAAAAAAATACCTCAAAAGAAATCCCCGTGTTGTAACCGAGTGGAATTACCGCGACGTGTGGCACACACGGGCAACCACCCAACCCCCCTGTGTGGCTACTCTATTGCTCAACGAAGTTGAAATTAAAAAAGGTAAAAGGTGGGGCGCCCTGCAATTTCCTGCTGCTACCTCTGCTGGCAAAAGGGGGAAGGGGAGGACACCTTCCACCGGGTGTATTTTGGTCTACTCCTCAACGCTGGCAACACGTCTTGGGGAAGAGGTGGGAGTAACCCACACACTTTACTCCACCCACACAGACCTGCCTAATCGCCGAGTCGGGAGATCGCAGATCGAACCGGCGACCCTCTGGATTGCAAATGCAGTGCGCGTTAACCATTACAGCGTCCTATGCGGGCGCGTGTGCACACTGCGCGCGTTGTGTATTACTAAAAACGGGATTTCAGTTGGAATGTTTAATAAGAAAAAAAGCCACTCTTAACCAAGGTTCAAAAATCCGTGCCTGACAACCCAGTGCTGTCCGCCACAGGTTGGGGGTGGGGGCCTGGGGTGCACTAAAAGATTACGCTGCATAGTCTCCTAGACGTTGCATCGTCGGTAGTTGTACAACCACGCACGGTGCTGTTGGCACGACGTCCGTCCGTTTTTGCTTTACTTGACAGGGAGAAGCTTCTATCAAGAACCGAATAAATGCACGAGAGAAAAACTGATGGGGCGGCGGGGGAGGGGACGTCGGGTTTCCAAACAGCAACGAGTTAAACACAACCCGACAAGGCATCGAATGGGCGTGGGGGCGGGGAGCTAGTGTCGGCGTGAAAAACCTACGCGCACAGATTTACTACACCACGTTCGACGGTGCCTCGCACTGCAGTAAAAACACTGCCGACTGCCAAAACAGAATTAGGGTTTAGGGGATCACGCGGTGTAATGGACGAGTTCACAGGGGGGAGGGTGGAGGGACCACCAAAACGGGGGGGGGGGGGGGGAGAGAAACTTGAGGTGAGGGATGGGGCTGCCTCTTAACCCTATTGCTAAGAACAGGCAAGCAGCAGTATCTTGCACTACCCACGCGTTTACCCCCTTATCCGTCCCTTCCCCATCACAAAAAATAACCTAATGCTGCTCAACTGGTTCACCGAGCATAATGCCGATAACAAGAGAACGAAGCAAACGCTGGGGATTGAAAATTAACGGTGCTGTGATAAGGCTTCCCCGACTGCATTTTTATTCAAACAGATGTTTTCTACAGAGAAAGGGATGAGGGAGGAGAGAAGCCCCAGCATGGTGAAGCGTGTAGGTGTGCGGTGTTTGTTTTTGTACACTTTCTATTTTTTGTATAAAACTGCAATCCCCAAACGGCGCGCACATCAGCCAACAGCAACGCCCCCAAAATCTACTGGCCCTGCACAACACGAACACACACACACACAAGCACACGTCATTAATGCAGCGTAGTCGATGCGGGAGACACGGCGAGGAGACACGGGGGGGGGGGGGGGGGGGCAGTGTGGCCCTTGGCATCTCCATCTGCTCCAAACTCTGCACACACACTCTCGCACCACCTGATCATATCACGCACACACGGGTTAACTTCTCTTGCTAGGTCAACTGTCGCCACACACATCGGAGGGGGACATCCTGTTACAAGCAAAAGCTACTGTTGACAACGCGACGTCCTCCTTTGCCCTTGATCATTTGCCATCAGACGTTGATGGCAAATTACTCCAGCTGTGTTCCTGCTCATGCATTTGCAAATAATTTCCAGCCACTGCCTGTAAGCGAATATTAATAGCATCCCATAAAAACGCACAGAGACAATCCTCAAGGCTTTTATACTTGTTTGAACCCAGGAACAAACCTGATTCTTAAGTCTTTTTTTTCAACGGTATCCTGCCAAAGCCTTTTAAAAGTAGGGAAATAATATTGTCATGTGTAAATCCCAATGGCGTTCAGGAGATCGATTATAATCAATATATATATGAATTATCCGGCAGCTTCAGGGGGAAAGGAGGTACCGGATTTTCAAAAACGGCAGGTAAGCACTAATCAGTAAAGCATTAAAAAAGCTTATTTCTGCACATTCTTAGAAAACATGTATTTAGTTGTTGTGTATGTTTTTTCGTGTTTCCATTTGTTAATTGTGAAATTGGCATGCCTCCGATGGCTGGGCCGTCTCACATTGACATGCCAATCTCTCACATTTAGGTACAAAATCCTACATAAACTCTTGTTGCAGCAGCTCTTTCTCCTACGACAGCAGTCCTCCTGCTGTTTGTTTCACACCTGATGACGGTTGCTTGTGTTGCGATCGAAACGTCGTGATCTATTATTTTTACTCCCTACGTGACTTTACCGAAAGAACAAAAGAGTATGGATTCCTGCAGTCACGAAAGCTTCAAATCAAGATTGACTACTATAAAAAGTTACTGTATTTACTGTACCGTACTCACTACTTAAATCTCGGGGTCATGTACGTACTACTACGCTCTTGTTTCAACAACATGTGTTTGACGATCGCCGGACTGGTTACAGCCTTTGGAAAGGTTCTTCCCGGGACTGCCGGATAATGTTGTAAGCCGGATAATCGCACGCCGGATATGAATGATCAACATTCATTTGCAGGATTTTGCTTAGCATTGGCATGTTTTCACCAAAACCAATTGCATTGTACGAGTTTTTTATTGTTTAGCTACGGAAGAAAACTCATGCTGGACAAGGGGAGAACATACAAAGGGCGCCACTGCCCTCCTCGTGCTGTGTCAGCACTGTCAGCCCTTGCGGCACCCCCGACCTTAAAACAACCTCACCAACCCCACTTTTCCTCCCGACCCTCTCAAATGAACGAACAGCACAAAAAGAACATAATTCAACAGTGCGCGGCAAATGGCCACGGCAACACCACCTGCACATGCCTGTCAAGGGCACTACCACACATTTAGCAACGGAGGGGGGGGACCAAGGGGAAAGGTTAAGAATCTTGAGTGCCAACAACTGTAAGAGAGGTCCATAGTGATGGTGTAGGCGTTGATGTTGCTGCTGTTGCCACCCAACGCATATTTTGCCGCTTCTGGCGAGCACTTGGAACAGTCGCCACAATGCAACTGTTTCTATTGATGTTGCTAATTTAACCGCTAGTGCCGCTCGCCTGCCGCGGGTTTGCCGCGGGTTTGCCGCTGCTAATGATGCAGCAGCTGCTGCTGCAGCTCATTACAAGGGCGCTGGCGAGTGGATATTGCTGCCATACAACTACGGATGCTGCTGTTACCAGCTATTGAATGTTGCTACTGGTGACATGGCTGATAAACATCGACTAAAAAACACCACTGCAGTAATACCTCGATATGCAAATATTCCATATATGCGAAGGTTCAGTATAACGAACCTTGGATGCGTTACCATTACATTACATGGTAGCAAATAAAGTTATATATCAAAAACACTGAAATATATAACTCTTACAACTGTCCATCGACAGTACGATATAAGAATAAATTGTAATAGCATTGCGCATCACAATGGGTCGCTGAGTGTTTACATTCTCTCGGCCAATAGACACTGCAGCAACCCACCAAGTTACGTTTGGTGGGCAATGCAACCTTGTGACTGCACCCAAGACTACACCGGTTAATTTGAATTTATCTTACAGTACAGTATAATTTAATTTATTTATTTTTATTTTTTACTTTTCACCTACGTTACTTTACCGAAAGAACGAAAGAGTAAAGTCCATGGTGTTTCAATTATTTATGTCAGCTTTTAGTTTAATATACAGTACAGTATAAAATATGTTATCTTCAATATAAATAGTTTTTGTTTACCATAGGAATGGAAAGTGATTAAGTGTTTATAGTATGAAATGGTAAGCTACGAGAGGATGGGAACACATCGTCATATTATTAACGTTATACGTTATTCAACATACGACGCTTTGGGATACGAATTAAGCTCCAGGAACACATCCACTACGTATAGAGATATCACTGTTTTACATCAACTGCTGCAAATCCTTATTTTGCTGCTGCTGCCAAAACGGCATCCGTTTCTGCTCCATCTAGCGACGACGCTGATGCTGCTACACAATTAATGCTGCGGATGCTTATTAGATTGCTGCTACATCTACTAGTGACACCTGCTGCTTGTAGAATGTGCACTCATTAAAGCTGTTTATTATTTAGCTGCTGCACCTATTGATGACACTGCTGAAGATGGTTAGTACATTGCTGCTGAAGCATTGATGACAATGCAGCTACATCTATTTTTCTGCCGCTTCTATATCCATTTCTGCTCCATCGACTCATGATATCTACTGGACATCTCATCGGGATCCTCCAGTCTAAGTAAAGATTCGGATTATGATATTGCTGCATTAAACTGCTACTGCGTCTATTGCTGATGCATTGGCAAATTATACTGCTGCTACATTTGCTGCTGCTACTGCTTCTACTGCACCTTATTAAAGACACTGCTCAAGATGGTTATTACATTGCCGCTGTTACACCAGCCGCTGCTACCAGACGCCCGCGGTTACCGGTGGTGCCTGCTGCCCGGGCGGGGGAGGCTGCTGATTGGCCGGCGACGAGGGGGCGGCGGCGGCGACACCGGGTGGGCCTGTGACGGGCGCGGAGCCGGGCGGGCCCTGGAGCTGCCCCTGCCCGTAGTAGGATGCCTGCTGCCGGTAGTACTCGGCCCACGCCGCCGAATAGTCCGGCTGCGGAGCGGCCACCGGCGGCGCCGATTGCGCCGCCTGGGCAGCCTGGGCCGCCTGGGCCGCCTGAGCCGCCTGGGCGGCTTGGCCTGTTGTGGAGGTGGGGGGGGGGGTGGAAAAAAACCCACACGCAACTTATTAATGGGGTTACACGTCCAGCGCGCGTTTCCGACGTTTCCACGCGCAGTCCTGCGGTACTTTCGCAGCCCTGGGGAAATGTTGCCGCGTGTGTATCCCGACTGATTTATTTGCGGTTGGCGTATATTTTTCGAATTTGCTAAATTTGTATGGAACGGGGAGGCGGTGAACGTACAAAACGACACTGGCACACACACAATAGACTTTTCCTTATGAATTACTAGCTTGACTTCCCGGCTTCGCCCGGGACTTGGATTCACCACGCCCGGCTGCCTTTGTCCCCCCCCAGTGGCGATGTTCACAAACCACACGAGTTACTCGTTTGAGGCTGAGTCGACCTAGGGGAGGCCCAGGACCGGTTCAAATAATCGTCACCGGTGGTGGCCGTGAGCGGGAATCGAACTCGGGTCGCCGGGTTCGTAGCGCAGCATGCTAAGCACTACACTACCACTCCCCCCAAACGCACACGTACGTCAATAGGTACACATACATACGCTTGCTGCAGTCGCACAACTTTGAGGGTGCGTACGGCAGTGAACGACAGAAATAATAAAGCAATGCTGCGCTAAGAACGCCTTAGACCTGCAACACATTTCTATGGCACTTTACTCGCGGAGGGTTGAGGGTGGGGGATACGCTTCCGCATGCGCGGGTCACATGACAGATGTGACGTCACAGCTCACTTGCCGTGCAAAATATATGCATTATTGCACCCTCCCAACCCCCCCACAAAAAATATACAAAAGTCAATTTTTATAATTTTTGCATGGTGTACAATCTGGAAAGTACCCGCCTGGAAAATTTCAAGTTTGTTGCATGTCGGGAAGCACGCTAAACATTTTGAACAAACACACATTCACAAATTTCCCTTTCATATATATAGATGTCCACGGTCATCTTGAAACGTCCGCAATGAAGCGGGAGGGCATACGATTGTTGAGGTTAATCTACACCCACGGACGATGACCAGGGGACGGCCTGCTGAATTTAAACCGCGAAGCATATGGAACAAGCGTCAATCGAGCTACCCATGGGCCACATCACCGCCCTTTATAATGTATTGAAGTAGACGGTGCCCACAAATCGCTTGCAGTTATGAGCTACTTCGGATACCTCACAAAATGGACAATTGGTTAAAATAATGATGCTCGTTATTCGTACATTTGTATCTCCGAACCACGTTGGGTCAAGGGGGGTAACGCAGCCCACCGAGCTAAATAGCTTTCTTAATTTTGGAGCTTTCGTGACTGCAGGAATTATTCTTTGTTTCTTTCGGTTAAGTCACGTCTAAAGATAAAATAATATTATTTTAATTTATTATTTTATCTTTAGACGTGACTTAACCGAAAGAAACAAAGAACTAAATAGCTTTGTCAGAAGCAACCTGGCCACAAATGATAGCGCTCACCAAGTGGCTTATCACGTGGAAATTTACAGCAGCAACATACTTTAAAAGCGTGTTTCTAAAACGTGGAAGTAAAAACTGTAGGACCCGGAGAAAAATCCACACGACCAAGGAGAGACCATACAAACTCCAAATATGCAGACGTCAGGATTGGGATCAAACCCACAAACTCCTGTATACCAGGCGAGGTAGTTAACATCTCGCCACCATGGCACCCCTATATAACAACACACACTTAGTAGTTTTATTGGTGGTGCAATGGTTCACGCTGTGCTACGAGTCTGGCAACCCCAATGAGTAACTGTTTCGAATGCTTCTGCTACGTGCAGAAGACCACTCAAACTTTGTCTCGTTTGTTAAGTTATCATAGCTTCATTACTCTAAGAGGGGTCATTCATATATCATATGCATGTAAAAGATGAATATCACAGGCAATATTTTGTGCAGGTATCATTTGCATAATAACATATATTAATACATGTATTCACGCATAGTTATGTAGCTAATGAAGAGGATATGTGGCGATGGTATGTTTAGCCATTAAAATCCCCTGGACAAGAAAACCCAATCAAAAGGCTGAAACCTGAGACCTCACAGCCTTTGCGGCCGACGTGGCCATTATGAACCATCCAAAAGAACAAGACACTCAGCTTCGGGTTAAACCCTGGCGCTGAACACCCCGGTGGTCATTACTCTTTGGTTCTTTCGGTAAGTCACGTAGGTATAAAATAAAAATAAAAAAATCACGACGTTTCGGGCGCAACACAAGCGTCCATCATTAGGTGGGACAACCACAGCAAGAAACAATTGCTGAAGTGGGAAAAAGAGCTGCTGTAACTTGAGGCTATACAGGTAAGAGAGGGGGGGAGGAGCCAGGGAGGAAAGATAGAGAGGGGGGGTGTGGGGTAGGGGGAGTGGAGTGCTGACAAGTGGAGCTCTACTGGAAGGGATTAAAGGGCGAGCAGAGAACAAAATATCGGGGGGGGGGGGGGGGGGTCATTGTGGACCCAAAGGAGAGTGGTTGGTGATAGCTAGAAATCAGCAAACTTACCCTGCTTCTTGTAGTACTCTTCCCAGGCTTTCGTATAGTCAGTCTGGCCAGCACCAGCCTGCCCTGTGGGATGCATTCGCGTGCGCACACACAGATGGTGTCAAAGCAAGGCTTACAGCCAACACTGCAAACAATGACACTGCTACAGGCAAACGAAACCCGGCTCTTACTGCTGTTGTCAGGAACGACTAATGCAGAGCCTGCTCCTCCTGCCAACACAAATGATTAGAATGCTGCTGCCACAAAATAATAACAATGCTACCTTTGCAGCTTACTCCTGCGGCTGTGCAGTCAGAGTAATTATTGATGCAGCTACTAATGCTGCCAATGAACCAAATACCAAATAATTCACAATGCCATAAACCACCACTCCCATGGCACCATCGTATTCTCAACTCCCAAGATCTCCCTATCACCTTAAAGGTAATCCAAGAATTTGCCTCTGCCTATCTCACCCCCTCCCCTTATCTTACCTCTCCCCCTTCCCGTCAAGTGCTCTCCGCTCGAGGATCCAGGGCCTTTTGTAAAAGAGCAGCTAATAATGATGAGAGTTTTTTTGGGTTAGAGCACACAAGTATAAAGTTGTGTGATTAATCCACCACCACCACCCGACATCCAACCAGTAAGGTTTGAAAGTAAATCGACAACATCCACAATTTTAGTACCGTGACGTTTCGCTGGTAATTACATCCGGCATTATCGGGCGGGTTAATGACACGTTTATTATGCTTACGCAATTCTGCCCTGTTGAAATTTTAGATCAACACTTGTGACTGTCCCCTCCATCACCGTCTCCTGAAGTGTCGTCTTCATCGATAAGCAGTAGGACAACGCGGTTGCGCTGCGTAGCTCTCCGATATGTTCTCAGGTTGTACCGCGCGTCGTTTCGGAACGATGTTTTGACGTCTCTCGCACGTGCAGGGTGCGCCTTCTTCAGGAAGCGAATTTAACGTAACTGAATTTCAGTTCCTGAAAAGGCTCCCAGCGTGCATCTTCATTCATAACTCCAAACCGATTCTTATTTTTCATACTTTGACACCGACACAAAAGTCCCATGGACATAATTCATCACGTTCGTACATTCCTGCATAATATCTCAGCAGTGTTGGCCCAGTCAATCATAATGGCTCAATACATTTGAAACATTTGGTAGAAGCACACTTCTTATAGCGCAGGAATATCGCAAGGGCGCCATCTTTCACAGGTGGATCTAGTCAGTGGGGAGCTATGTTGCTCCATGTAACCTTAATGAGTAATTTGTAAAGAACTGTTTTTTAGCATGGACCATGATGCTAGCACACAATGGCCTAGTATTTATGGTTAATACACCCACGGTCATGACCAGGGTGGCATGCCGGATTTGAACCGCATGCTACAGCTGGGCCATGTCACCGCCTCAGTGTATCCCGAGCTTCCTCGGTGCTGCACGACTCAATAGCAACCCCCCCCTTGCACTGAAACACAGCCAACTGGTCATCGCTTTTACTTACCGACTTTTTTGTAGTATTCCTCCCATGCCTTGGTGTAGTCGGGCTGGGCAGCTTGGCCAGGGTTTTGGTTCGGATCAGCTGTTAAAGACAAGCATTTAACAGGCAAGAAGGTGAAGGTGTTTGTCAATGCCACTGATGCCAATAGAGCCAGTGACAAGATAGCCTATTTTCCTTTGCCCAGTGGCCATGTGTCAATACTCTGTCACACCCCACCAAGTAACGGCCATGCTCGCATAATGACGCGAATTGTATACAACGCGATGAATGTAATTGGGGAACGCCTATTGTTATAACACGAATGTGAATTGTATCTATAACGCGATCGAGCGAATGCAACTACATCACGCGCAAGTAGGAATAAGCGGTCATACAGCGGCTGCCTCGGCATAGCATCATCATCATAATCGCACAAGGCATTAAGATGCTTCTAGCTGCTTTTACCCACGCGCCTCAGAATTTGTTCAGCCTGCGTACGCATCTCACGTGTTATAGCAGACTGTGCTTTACCCTATAATATATTTATTGTAACCCAATTTGTCCATAACGCGGTGTTCTGCAGGAACTGCATCTCTACTGCCGCATTATAGAAGACCAGGCTGTATTAATTTTAAGCCAAGTGTGCATGTGGGCACACACAAAGGCAAATACACTCAAGTAGACAAACGCAGACACTCAATGAGAAAAAAGATCATGGTGTGAACTTTAGGAGATTGGTTGGGAAAGTGCCGTTAGCAAGCAGCTAGTAAGGCAGGTAGGCAAAAGTGTATTTATGTTCAACATTTTTTGCACCGTGCGTCGCCAACCGTGCTAATTGGAGGTGTGGGGTGGAAAGGACAACGAAATAAACAACTGTTCTAAAGAGATGAGTTTGTCATTGCAGACGATTTCAAAGTGCATAGCTCCAGTGGCTTCCTAATATCAGAAGGAAGAGCGTTCCAGACAGCTGCAGAAGCACATCCGAAAGTGTGCAATGCAATGACTGTCTTTATGTCTGTGAAGTTGCCAGCAATATGCCCAGCCACCTTTGCATTTCCCAATGATCTTTACACGAGAACCACAAAGGGTACCTGATATAAATGCTGTATAAACCCAAGGGGAAACACAGAACCCAGTTGAAATAATTGCCACGAATATTAGCCTCGGCCAATTCACCAGTTTCCCGCCAGTGCGCTAACCACTATGCCACCGTTCCCCAAACGTATGCAAACATATGCATGTGCAAAGTAACACAATATACACAAACAAGCACACAGGCATGCAAACACAAATTAAAAGCACACAGCATGTGCCCTCACAAAAATGCACAATCAGCATGCACACAGACAAGCACGCTCAACACACAAGCAGACACAAAGACAAAGATCCCCCCCTCCGTATAGCCTTAAAATGATGTTAGGGCAAGTGCTGTTTGCGAGGAGCACCTATGAAGGCCAGCACAGCACACGAGGGGATAGGTGGCCAGCACCACTTTTGTCTCCCCAGTGGCGATGTTTACACACCACACCGGGTTCTCATTTGAGGCCGAGTCGACCTAGGGGAGGTCCATGCCCAGTTCAGATAAGCATCACTGGTGTTGGCCATGACCGGGAATAGAACTCGGGTGGCAGGGTTCTCATAGCACAACGCGCTAATCGCTACACATGCGCGCACACACACACACAAACACGCCTGTAGAGTGAATCAAGTGCTCCAGCGCAGAAGTGGTTCTGTTACCCTGCACAGGGGGAGCTTGTGGAACAGGTGGCACGGCCGGCACCGGCTGGGCTGGCGGGGGCTGCTGGCCAGGCTGTTGTTGGTAGTACTGTGCGTAGTATGCCGCCCACGCCGCTGCATTTGCATCCGCCGCCGCTTTGTCTGCAGAGGGGGGGGAGAGGAGTGGATAGGGCATGTATAGAGGTGGCAATACTAAGGCAGGGGATAGTATAGGATTGTGTAGGGGGTTGACAGTAACGCCTGCCAGGACATATGTTTCAGAAACATGGTCATTCACAAAACATATTTAACAAAAGCTGAAAAGCTGTGCAAAGAAGCAGAGAGATGCATGCTTGGAATTACAGACAAGGACAAAAATAACAAAATAAAAAACTTATGTTCATGACATAATCTGAACTATTAAGAAATGCATGTGGTGTTTGGCAGGATAACGTCATGGTTATTAAATTATGCTGGGCGATGGTTAAGAAAAATAAATGCACTGGCAGCCAAGGAATGGACAGTGCCCGAGAGGATGTGCACGGAGGAGATGGAGTCGAGAGATCAGTTCATGTGCCATGTGCTAGAAAGTTGCATCGCAGGACCGTGAGATTTTGTGGTTGTGGTGCAGTGAGTGTGGAGGTATGGTAAAGATGTTAAAGTGGGACACTGTAATGCTGAGATAAAGCGTGGACTTTTCGGGCTGACAAGTTAATGCAGAGATGGTAGTGGGTGAATCCGCGATCTGCCGTGCACACATCAATAACAACCTCCATTCTCCACTAAGTGGTGGTGACTTAATATCATCAAGGAAAGTGATTGTGCCAAACTAAGTGCACTTTGAGGCTATCATGTGGAGCAATAACAACCACCATTCGCCACTAAGTGGCGGTGACGTCACCATGGCACTTGTGCCAGGCTGTGTACTTTAAGGCCACATCAAGTGTCCAAACGCCCGCTGGCAGGAGGTCAATGGACAGACCCAGGTGCCATGGGATGACTGTGAATCAATACCAACAAAACAAAGATACACCATGTAGCGTTAACAGACTGTTGGGGTAAGTGATATTAGCAAACAAATTTGAAGGCCGGCAAGGCACACGAGGGGGGTAAGGTGGCCAAAACCACGCCCGGCCGCCTTTGTCTCCCCAGCGGTGATGTTTACACACCACACCAGGTACTCATTTGAGGCCGAGACGACCTAAGGTATACCCATGACCGGTTCAGATAGTCACTGGTACTGGTCGCGAGGGGGAATCGAACTCGGGTGGCCGGGTTCATAATGCAGCGTGTTAACCGCTACACTACCGCTCCCCGCAATGCAAACACACGGAAGTAAACTTACTCGGATCTGGAGGAGCGCCTGGTTGCTGCCAAGGCTGATACTGGCCGGGCCAGCCTTGAGGGTTGGGGTACGGCTGTGGAGGAGGGGGGCCACTGTGGAAGTGCAATCGAAGAACACGCTACGATCAGTACGAGGAGCAGCGTTTCAATTACCCGTGCAGTGTTTTCCCATATCCGCCAAATACTCATGTGAAAGGGGCTACATCTAACGTGGGGTTTTCAGTTAAAACCTATCTCTAAATCGGTTTGTCAAGGAGTTTGGTGGCTAGTTTTATTTAAGACATTCGTTGCCAATTTGTGTTTATGAAGTTTGTAAATAAGGAACAATGAGAAAAAAACATTTCCGTATTTCTCAGCAAGAGACAGCATCGTGTTCTCAGCGAGATAGGTACCACAACATTTTGTAGGATTCCCGTGATAATTTTCAACATACGATGTGCTGACCAGGCTGAGGCCATCAAACTTCTCACTGCACTGGAGAACCCGGTTTAATCACAAGAAGCTGACAGGATTCGAACCCAGGGCTCTGCGATGCCAGCTTAGCGCTCGCAACCACAAGACCCTGGACTCTTTAACAGCCACTTTCCCCTCTGAGCAGAATTCTCTGTCGACCCCAGATGACAAGGCTGTACCGATGCTGGATGGTGCTGACAGCAACAGCTATTTATTTGGTGTAAAACTAAACAGCAAGGGCTAATAAGGCACCGAGCCAAAAACTGTTTGTACATCGTCTCCGATAAAATTAATCTACGCTGCTTGTTAAAACATGTGAAAGCTTAGAACCAAACATTTCTTGCAATACTTTTTTATGCTGTTGGAATGATAATGGAGGCCGAGGAATGGGTCATTCATTAGTTAACGTTAATGATGATTTTGCGTTAAGTAGACACAGGGACATTGTAACTCATAACGCCATGTGCCAGTGGCATTTAATAATTTTACTTTTAATACAAGTGAGTTTGTGTAATAATACAATTTTGTTCATTGAAGGGTTGCCCGTAACTTAGTAACTTCATATTCCAATTTAAAACTGTTCATCGGGAAATATTGCTATAATTTAGTCTTAACAGGTTTCACGGTGCCGTGCAGTCTGCAATTACTATTATCACTCTCGTCTCTATTAATATGCTATGAAGAAGTGTCATAGCCCAAAACGTTGTTGATTATATATTTTTAAGTTGAAGGCGGTGTGTTATTGCCAGCTCTGTCGAGTTTTTTTATCGCAATGGTGCATTCAAACATATGATCAAAGTGGCTGTGTGGATGCAAAGGCTTCACACTCACTGTTGGGGTGGGGGTCCATATGGCCCGTGAGGACCTGGGGGACCAGGTGGGCCGGGGTATGGGCCAGGATGGGGGTAGGGAGCTGGGCCGACAGGTGCACCTGGCGGGCCAGGCGGGCCCTGTGGCAACAGAAAAAAACAAACAATTAATTATGTTACACAAAAAAAGACAACCCCCAAAAAGTCTTAAACAGACTGTTGGGGCAAATGCTGTTAAGGGAGCATCTATGAAGGCCGGCACAGCACACGAGGGGGTGGGTGGGCAAGCACCACGCCCGACCGTCTTTGTCTTACTAGCGGCGATGTTTACACACTGCACCAGGTACACATTTGAGGCCGAGTGGACCATGTGACACACACACAATCAACAAAACACCTTAAAACACACTCACATCTGATCCAGCCCTACTGCCTCATCCCCCTACGGGTAACTCGACACCCGCCACCCACTTACATGCCACTTTCCAAAATCTAACGCCGTCGACAGGGTGGCGCAGTGATGACACTTGTTCTCTAGAAGGGCCGAGGTTGGATTCCCAAATCCGGCACCTCTCCGTGCGGCGTCTCTACGTTTTCCCTGTTCTGTTGACTGTTTGATGAGTGAACGTGATTTTTTTTGCAATTGTTGGCTCGCGTTCTTATTTTTTAAACGTTTTTGGTGTGCTTTTTGCGTGTGTTAGTATGCGTTGGCATGTTTTAGCACGCCAACATGTGTTTGTGTATTTGCGTGCATGTTTTTTTACATTTATATGTAGAATACAGTACACTCGATTCGTGTATTGTACTGTATGGGTCGAGTGGTGGTGTACAGTAGTGTGGTAAATATTGTAGCGTGGTCCGGCGTAGTGTAATGTGCTGTGTACAGTACAGTATGTGCGAGACGTAGTGTGGAGGGAGAGTGAGCGTGGTGAGATTGAGGTGTCAATAGGGGTGAGCAAGGGGTGAGTGTGGCGAGGCTAAAGTGAGCGTGAGCAGGTTGTATTGTATGTCTGTGTTGAGCAGGGAGTATTGTATGCGTCTGTGTTGAGCAGGGGGTGTCTGTGTACGTGTCCGTCTATGTAGTTGGTGTGTGGGGCGTGTAACCCCTCCACCTTAACATTACCAAATAGCCACAGTAAACACGTCAAAATAAGCTTCTGCAAGAGACCTCGGTGTGGAGGGGGACAGGAGTCTATGACGTCTCCTGGCCAAATCCCTACAACACCGTATAGCTGAGGGAAAGACGCTCGCACTAACGAGCTGAGTGCTGGATGGCTAAAACGCAGCAAGCTGAAAACAGTAGGTAGCACAGGTGGTGTACCAGTCAGTCATTCGAGTCAGTCAACCCATGGCACCTGGGTCTGTCCCGTGACCTCCTGCCAGCGGGCATTCGACACTTCACGTGGCCTTAAAGTACACTTAGCCTGGCACAAGCGCCGTGGTGATGTCACCGCCACTTACCGGCGAATGGCGGTTGTTTTTATTGCATAAGTCAGTCATTGCAAGTTGGTCAATCGATGGCACCTGGGACGTCACATGACCTCCTGTCATCTAGCCTTTCAAACGTCACGTGGCCTCAAAGTGCACCAAGCCTAGCACAAGCAACGTGGGTGATGTCATCGCCATGTTGTAGAGAATGGCGTTTGTTTTAGTGTGTGGAGTTTGTATAGTCCACCCTCGTTTTGCATGGGTTTCCTCCCATAGCTAAAACCACAATGTAACTGGTATTGGCCAAAAAAACATCCGAATGCTAAAGAAGTGCCTGTGACTTATTCAATCGGGATAACATGTCGCAAACGTCGACCCCCTCCCCACCACAACTTCTAAAACTTGACAGGACCTTCCTGAAAAGTCGTGAAACTCAAAGACATTCCTGGGTAAACAAAGCGCAATAATAAGATCCCTTACTAGCGCACTCCCATCCCCTCCTGGCGCTCACCCCGTGGATGATGCTGTCGATCATGTGGCGCGCATGGTCGATCTGCTGCGGAGACCCGCGCAGGATGAACATCTTGAAGTTGGGGTCAGCGTTGGGCGGCTCGTTCCTCTGGAGCTCCACGCGGGCACCCGACGTCTGGTTGATGTTCCTGATTGTCTCTCCACCTGGCGAAGGGGGATCGGGGTGTCGAAGAACCGGCACACACGGAGATAATAAACCAAAGAGGCCCTTCTCTTCAGCATAGCCCACAGCGAAGTAACCAATTGCACAACCAAAGTGAGCAACTTAATTACCTGCAACTACTTAAAAAATTATTTTTTTGATAAAAGTGGCCCTTCAAGAAGGTGTATCTCAGTGTGCTGTACACATCCCATCCAACACATTCTAATAAAAATGTTACCAAGTAAGGCCCACTGAGGTATACAGCTCTTTTTCAGAAGTCACCTGGCCACAAACGATAGTTCAACGAAATGGCTTATGTGGAAATGTGAAGCAGCCAAAGACTCTAACCGCACATTTATAAATGTTGAGGGAAAAACCAGAGGACCTGGCGAAAAATTCACGCAACCACGGGGAGAACATACAAACTCTTAAATATACAGCAGGCATCAGGGTTGGGATCGAACCTACGACCTCCTATATACCAGGCGAGGCAGTTAACATCTCCTACCCACAGCATCGCAACAAGGTGACTCGGCACCAGACCTGCAGCCTTAGTCTGCCAAGGGGGCCCATGCTTGCTACCATGTGTAATCCCAATAGAATAATTTGCAGGTATTCATAGCAAAGGTTTTTGGGTTAGATCGCATAAGTATAAATGTGTCGTTAACCGTGCCACCACCCGACAGCCAACCAGTAAGGTTTGTCACGTAACCAAAACGTGCTAATTAGTTACTATTTCAGCCTACTGGTGTTCTGGCAAAATCGCCCGATGACGCAGGATGTAATTACCAGCGAAATTGTAAATATTGTGGGTTTACTCTCCATACTCTTTGGTTCGTTCAGTAAAGTCACATAGGTATAAAATAAAAGAAATCACGACGTTTCGATTGCAACACAAGCAATCATCATCAGGTTGGAAAACCAGAAGCACACTAAATTCACAGCACTCCAGATTCCAAAAAATGGCTCTTCTTGATATTTTGGTTGCCGACCCCCCACTGATCTAGCCAAACGTGTCGGTAGATCCTCCACCACCCCGACATTTTTATGTGTACAGGCATTTAATGCATCAATTATTATTATTTGAGTTCAATGCGGCTAAGTTGAAGAACAATTATTACACCTCCGGTTAGCACGGTTGGCTACGTAAGGTGCGAAGGAGGTTCAACGTACACACAATTAAGCAGTGAGATACGAATCGTTGATTTTAACGTAGGCTTTCGCGACCAATATTATCCAGAGGTTTTTTTGGGTTAGATTGCATAAATATCAATGTGTCGTTAAACCCGCCACCACCCAACAAAGCCAATTAGTAAGGTTTGTCAGTAAACACAAAACGTGCCAATTTGTTACTACTTCCGCACACCAGTGTTTTGCAGAGTAAACCACAACATTCACAATTCGAGTACGACGTTATTTAAGACTGAAGCAGACGGATTTCTCCACAACTATGGCTGTCGCCTGCTGATGCGAAGCGTCACGGTACTCAAATTGTAACCGTTGTAGTGGATTTCCTCTCCAACACACAACTGGTTAGTGCTGAACTAGTTGGCATGTTTTGTTTAGGTGACAAACCTTACCAATTGGCTGTTGGGTGGTGGCGGGTTTGACATGTTTACACAAAAAAAACCTGTTATAGATTGCTGCTTTGTTCATGTCCCAAGGACATTTCTCCTCCTTGGCGTGTTACACGAGTGAGAGTGAAATTAAGTGGGGGGGGGGTCTCTGGGGATGGGGTCGAACGACTCTCACCTCTGCCGATGATCAGCCCTACTTTGTTGGTGGGCACTGTGAGGTTGAATTGGTCGTGCATTCCCCCGGGGGGACCCATCCACTCGTTGCGTCCAAAGCCACCGCCACCACCGCCGCCACTGCCACCCCTGCCACGGCCACGACCCATTCCTCCAGGCCCGCCCGGTGGCCCGTTCTGCATACACACAGGGAAACCGTTTCGTGAGTAGTCCTCTGAAAAAGTACGAGTTTCACTTCCCTCGTTTATTCAACTATCGGTCTCACTCGTTTCATGAACCAAAACAGAAAACAATTGTATAATACCAGGTACGGCCCACTGAGGGGGGGGGGGGGTGGCACGTGCCCCCCCAATGATCCGATCGAAATCCCTAATTTCGATCGAATCATTGGGGTTTATTAGTAATAAATCGGCATTTTGCGCCGCCCACTGCCACTCTGTAGCATATTATTACGTGCCAGGGACTCTATGAGATGATAGGACAATAGTCTGAGTCCATAACTGGCAATAGCTAATGGCAAAGCAGTTATAAGTGACTCACATAATTGTGCGCAGTTGCGTATACAGGACACGATTTACCTGAAGGCATTCACCTTCAGCGAGCGCGATGCCGATCACACAACGCGGTTCGAATTCGACCCTCGATCGATGGCTGCGCCATCGCCGCACACGCGTCGAATAAAAAGCAAGGGACAAGTCCTTACTTAGTTACAACAACTATCATTTTTCATTGCTGGAGGGGTTGCCCCCCCTACCTGAAAATCCTGGCTCCGCCATTGGAGCTGTGTGTTGCTCTCTTGCAGAAGTCATCTGGGCTATCACAAATGATAGCTCAACGAAAGTGGCCTATCAAGTGTAAATTTATCATAGCCAAATTACTCTAAAACGCATGCTTTATTCTAAATGCGAGGGGAAAAACCAGAGGACCTGCAGAAAAATCCACACGACCACGGGGAGAACATGCAAACTCCAAATACACAGCAGGCGTCAGGGTCGGGATCGAACCAACAACCTCCTTCATACCAGGCGAGGTAGTTAACATCTTCTAGCCACCGTGCCACGCCTTATGCTGGGTTTGGTTTGTGCAATTTCGTGCATATGCGGCTAACCTATTTTTACCCAAAATTTGGCCAAGCAGTTTGAATGCACACTCATTGTGCGGCTGTGCGGTCGGACGTGGGACAACATTGTTGCGTACTGTATGCACTACTCGGAACATCTACCGCATTAAGCTAGGGAAACCTGAATTTCAATGAGTTTTTTTTCATTTTATGCAGCTTGATTTTAAGTCTGTTTCCTGCTCAAGATATCTATGAATTTGGATGGTGAGGTCTTCGAGCAGCAACAGTAATATACCCATAAACAACCATAGGAAGCCGCCGTGATAGAATGGTTACCACGCTGGACTTGCAATGCAGAAATCGCCAGTTAGATTTGATCTCCCGGCGATGCAGTGGAAATAATGGTGCACATTATTTTAATCCTCCCCTGCCTCTTTTCCATTCAGCAGCATATATATATATATATGGCCGGCAGGTTACATGTGGCGGGGTTAAATGTGGGTACGTTTATAAATGTGTGGCCAGCGTGGCAAAGTAGACCAAAGTACCCTCAAGAGAGGGCTCCCTTTGGTAGTCAGCTCTGTTGGTGGCCCATCTCCCAGCAGTGGTGAGCAAGCCACTGCAACGCTGCACTTGTTATCTTTAACCATGCGTGGAGACAGGCTGCTTTGTGCGTGTTGTGGGATGCGTGGTGGGTTCGTGGCCAGGAGAAAAGCGACGTCCACCTCACCTGCACGCTCTGGATGAGGTCGTTGATCATCTGCGCTGCATGCTGGCAGCACTCGGGGGGCCCCATAATGGCAGCCATCTTATCAGGGGACGAGGAGTCATCTGAGGGAGGGGAGGGGGGCAGGAGGGAGCTGTTAAAAGAGCTTAAAATTAACGAGCGTGGAATGCTTGCAACTTAAAAAAAAAATTGCAGACATCACAAGCTTTGGATGTTTGGACAATCCCAGTTACATTGTACTCTGTTTTTTTGTTATAGGAAACCAGAGAACCCGGAATAAACCCCACGCAGAACAAATGGAGCACAATAAATGTAAAACTATAAAAAATTATAAACTTTTTATTTTACCAGGTAAGGCTCACTGAGCTATGTAGCTCTTTTTCAGAAGTGACCTGGCTATCACAAATGATAGCAGCTCAACGGAAGTGGGTTATCACGTGGAAATTTGAAGCAGCCAAATGCTTGAAATGCATGTCAAATTCACGGGGAGAGACACCGCAAATTCCAAGGCGTCAAGATCGGAATCGAACCCAGAACCTCCTGTGTACATACCTGTCAACCTATACATTTTACTTTTATTCTTTTACAGGGAAATTGAGTTTTCGGGTCCATACGGAGTACAGCCATTTCAATAGGGGCAAAAAAAGGTTTCTTTGTTTTTGTTTCTCCCTTGTCATGAGACTTTATAGGATGAACGTTGAGATTTGTAAGTGCACGGGGTGACCAATAAGGTCTGAATTGGTCTGTAATAAGGTAGGAACTGATAAGGGGTTGGTAGGTATGTGTTTACCAGGTGAGGCAGTAAACATCTCCTAGCCACTGGGTCACCCGTAAAAGATTATTCGATTATTGTTAAACACGCCCTGGCCTACAGGGAGCTTGAACTCACCTGGCTTGAACTGGATGCGAACTCCGGCCTCGTTCTGAATCTTCTTGATCATGTCACCGCTCTTGCCAATAACGACACCCACGGCAAACTTGGGCACAGGTACCTGGTGGCACAAAGACAAAGATCCCCCCCCACCATTATAGCCTGTAACAGACTGTCGGGGCAAAATTGCTGTTAATGAATAGCAGCACCAATGTAGGCCGGGACGGCACATGAGGGGGTGGGTGGCCAGCAACATGTCCAGCCGCCTTTTGTCTCCCGAGTAGCAGAGGTTGCACACCGGCTCCGGGTCTTCATTTGAAGCAGAGTGAATCGAACACGGGTCGCCGGGTTCGTAGCGCAACGCTAACCGGTGCACCACCGCTCGCCACCATGGTAGCACACAAACGCTCGCACAAATAATGGTCCCTTCAGTTTACGCTGCCATCGATTGACGATATTTCAACTGACGATCCGCCTCCCATAGGGTCCCCCCCCCCCCCCGTTGTTTCGACTCGCGATAAATTTGAGTAATTATACGTTTACGATATCACGCAGCCGCCAATCTCGGCCAATCGGAGCGCTCCTAAGTGGACTGAACCCATTTAAGCCACGCATCCTTCTCAGCCTAAGGTAAAAAAAATATGTTCATGCTCTATTCATGCACGTTGTTACGCTCTATTTATCCATTGTTTATCCATGTTTCTATGAATATTAATGCTTTAATGTTCTTAAAACGTGTATTTATTCAAATTGCATGTTTAAATATTATAAACTATGTTTTTAGAGTGAAAAAGATCAACTTCCGATTGCCTTAGAACAAATTAAAACTTTAGCATGTATTTCCTATATTCGACTAGCGATAACTTCAATTAACGATGGTTTTCGTGGAACCAATTAATGTCGTCATAACATGGCTATCACTCATTCCCCATTCCATTCATCATCATTTACCGTCATCAATTTCCCTTTCACCAAATCCACGCATCACACAGATTCACCCCCCCCATTGCTTCATCTATTTCGTTCACCTCACCTCCACCGTTACATTCACACACGTTGTTGTTGTACAGTTGTTAATTATCTGTAAAGCGCCTTGGTTAAGGTGCTCGATAAATTCCATTAGGTTAAGATTTTTGGTTGAAGAGATAAGTTTTAGAGAGGTATGGGGGGGGGGCTGTTTTAGCTATGGGTACCTGAAGGTAAACCCATGCCAAAATAGGGGATGACCATATGAACTCCACACAGACAAGGCACACGTCGGGAATTAAAACCCAGGCACATTTTGCCGAGGCGCAAGATTGCCAACTGCATCACCCCACCGCTCTCATGTGGTGGCTTTCCCGATCTCACCTCCACATTGTCTCCCCCTCGGTTGGTGAAGTCCCCGGGCGCAAACTCATCTTTGTCTCTCAGCAGCTCCAGCACGATGTCCTTCGCTTGCTGTGGGTAAGGGTGGATAGATAAGTGTGGTTGGGTAGGTAAGGGTGGGTATGGGTGGGTAGGTAGGTAAGGGTGGGTAGGTAAGGGTGGGTGGATAAGGGTGGGTGGGTAAGGGTGAGCGAGTGGGTAAGGGTGGGTGGACGGATAAGCAGGTTAAAGGACTCATCAGGAACATGGCCAGTAAACAGCGCTGCCAAGTCAAAAATAATGCACACAAGCAGCAGCAGACAGTTGTGCAAGCTGGTCCGACAACTCCCCACTACCCCTTTTCCTCTACCAGCATAGCTGAGCAGGCGAAGCATTAAGAGATGTTATCTCGACTACTGAAAGCTTTGCTTTCATCATCAACTGGTGGGTACGCTGCACCGCTATAATTCAGGACTGGTAGGGGGGGGCAGCGAGGGGTTGGTGAACTGGGAAAGTCCTTCCCCTCCCCGTGGCCATCGAGGTCACAATGTCCAGGCTTGCCAGGAGAGGGCGATACAGCAAGAGGATTAATTGACATTCGTGCAGCAGGGTACCGAGTGTTAAATTGTGGGTTTCGCTAGGTTCTCCGGTTCACCTCCGTGTGTTATGAAAATGGTGTTGACCAGACATCCAAAAATAAGGCAAGAGCTTTGGGCAATTGTTTGCACCGGTTCTGGAACAGTCTTCCTTCCCGCCTGTCTGCGGTTTACCTGTGCCTCCCTGCGTTAACATTCTACACAGCGTCTTAAGATGCCATTCGCACGAATTACACGACATATAAAACGCTACAAACATTTAGTCCTCTTGCCATATTGACGGATGCCGGCACATCATTCCACAGTGAAGGCGAGCAACACAAAAGTAGTAACAATGGAAACAAGAGCCCATCTCAACGGCCAACGATGGAATACGAAACCGACGAGGCTACATCAACCTTGGGCTAGCCGTATACCTGAACTTTGTAAGGCTCCCCCATTATCCTAAGTGGCTTGTCGACGCCTGTGGGCATGGGTCCATCCTGGATCATGATCATCCTCACCCCCGCACGCTCCTGCATGTACATACAAGTACACACGCGCAATTGTTATTTCGGCATCAGCACCAGTTTTCGTGTTCTTGGCAATCATCAGTGAGCCATAGCAACATTAACTTTGGAGCACACTCCAACACACCTGTGTGTACAGTTATACACGTACAAAGCATTAACACAAACACTCCCCAGTGCAACCCTTTGTATTACACAACAACCCATGGAAGTGATGTAGTGGAATGTATGTAAAAGATGTATGTAGAACTTCTTTCACACCGTACGTGGCCAACCGTGCTAAATGGAGATGCGGGGGAAGTACAACAAACTAAACACAAAAATCAGTTGTAAACAAAGTACTTTTCAATCGACGTGATGATTTAAAGTGTAAAGCTCCAGTGGCTTCCTAATATCGGAAGGAAGAGCGTTCCAGACTGCCGCAGAAGCGCATCTGAAAGCGCGTGATGCCGTGACCGTCTTTGTTTCATGGTTTGCCAAAAGCCGCTGCTGCGAGGATGACCGGAGTGCACGCGATGATTTATGCTCCTTGACGAGATCAGCGAGGTATCGTAGTTAATTTGTGGCAAGCACTTTGTGTGTAATGAGTGCGACCTTATAACGTATTCGGCAACCGGAAGCCAAAGCAGCTCAACGAGCACCAAACGAAAATGGTCAGATCTTGCATTACCCATCGCAACACGTAGCCAAATAGTTTTGTACACGCTGAAGCTTGGGGGAAGAAGGGGGATTGTGCCCCGCACCACCATTAAATAACCAAGTAGACTAAATGTTTGACTCCTTTAGTCAACCAGACGAGGAGAATGACTAACATAGCAATATAGAGACCGTGGAGGCTCCACTAAAATTCCCAGATTGGCATTGACCAGACAAAAAAATTTAACACTGCATCCAGACAAGTGAATAATCCTAAGTTCAACTTCAAAACCACTGCACGCGCGCATCGCTCACTCCCAATCGCACCCCCCAACGCACCTGCAGGTGCTTGATGGTCTCGCCACCTTTGCCGATCACCAGCCCAACCTTGCCCGCGGGAATCATGAGCTCCTGAAAGGAGGGTGCCGGCGGTGCCGCCGAAGCCGGCGGGCCGTTGCCACCACTGCCCCCAATACCGCCCCCAATGCCGCCGCCGCCGCCACCACCACCACCGTTGTTGTTGGGGTCGGCCTGAGAGCCGGGGCCATCCCGCGCGCGCTCAATGATCTGCTCAATGAGGCGCTTGGCATCCCTGTTTGTATGGGAGAGGTGGGGGAAGGACAGTGAGGAGGGAGCGGACACCTGAGTTAATAAATACCTTAGCGGGCTTTAACTGGTAGGATGATGGTTTAAGTAATATTTGTATGTTTTTTGGGCAATTTGTTTGCCTTTCCTGTACTTTGCACTGTGGTGTTTGCAGTTATAACATTCTGACCATGTGCCCCTTCTGGAAATTTGTGAAAGAGCTTTATAGCTTATCGGATTCCTCCAGCATAAACAAATATCCTGATCTGATTCTGATTTGCTGAAAGTTTTTTTTAATCAGTGGGCACTACCTAAAAATGTTACTATTTTTATTTTAGCAGGTAATGGACCACTGAGCTGTGTAGCTCTTTGCAAAAGTCACCTGGCTATCACAAATGACAGCTCAACGAAGTGGCTTATGTGGAAATTTATCGCAGCCAAATGCTCTAAACGCACATGGATTCTAAATGGTGGGGGGAAAACTGGAGGACATGGAGAAACATCCACGCGACTACGGGGAGAACACGCAAACTCCAAATATACAGACAAGGTCGGGATCGAACCCACGACCTCCTGTATACCAGACAAGGTAGTTAACATCTTGCCACAGTGGCACCCCACAGTATGTCAGAACTGCTATGACATACCGATTAGAAACATGGCCACGGATGAAAACTATAGAACAAAAAAATGAAAATTCTAGATTTGAAAGTTTTTGTGACTGCAAGGGTCCATACTCTTTGGTTTTTTCGGCAAAGTCACGTAGGTAAAAAATTAAATAAAAATAAATTAAATCACGACGTTTCGGAGGCAACACAAACTTCCGTCTTCAGGTGGAACCGTCACAGCAAAATTACTGTGACGGTTCCACGTGAATACGGAAGCTTGTGTTGCCTCCGAAACGTCGTGATTTAATTTATTTTTATTTCATTTTTTACCGTTAAATTACTGTGACAGTTCCACCCGAAAAATACAAAGAGTAAAAAAATGAAAAGTACGCAAAGAAACATTAAAAGAAAAGCACGCTTAGAAAGATGAACACATGGATTAGAGAACATTCGCAGGCTAATGATATCAATACTGAAGGAAAACTAAATAAGCTTGGACGATAGACCAATGGCCAAACATAACAGTAGCTATCAAGGAACAGAACGCAATAATTGTTTTTTTACCATTTTATCTGGCAACAAAACTGACACCTTTTTTTTTACAAGGAGTCATGTTTGCATTGACCACAATACCTGCGGTCGGAATGCAAACAAAAACATAACTCTGATAATGTATGCACTGTCCTTGAAATTGATTGGTCCACACCCGAGACAGCTTTCTTTAGAGCCTAGTCTCGCATGGTGTTGGACCATGCACCATCAGAGTATGAGAGCTCGAGGTGTCAGTTTTGTTGCCAGATAAAAGGGTAAAAAACCAATTATCATATTTTGTTACTGGCAAATGAGGTTCCAATGGTGAACAGAACGCGTTCGAGAGAAAGTCGACCACGGAGCTGGGCACATTGATTACAGTTCATGGGTCGGTGCTGAATGGATGCGATGGGTTGCTTGGGATGTCACCCAGCAGATCAGGGCAGATGAACTGATGAATCTATGCAATCATTAAACCCCTGCTAGATACACACCATCTAGTTATCCGAGAGGCCAATCAGACAGAGGGCAATGGGACATCGCTTTGCTGCAAAGCGATCCCGAGACTTCATTCCATAAGAGGTGATCCTGTGTGCCGGCGTCACGGTCAATTTGCCAAATGGACATAATTGGCAGAACCACACCAGGTGCAGCAGCATTACAACAACACACCGGGTCCTCATGACAAGTCTGTCGATGTCGCGGTTGCCCGTTGAGTGGCGCTGCAGAAATCTGCATCAGAAGTTGCCTAAAGATTCAGCAGCAGCAGCTTTTCCGTTCAAACGTGCGGTGGTGATACCACCATGAGCAATCGTACATCTTTGCAATGCCACCGTCCGCCAATAAATTATTCCGGAAATGAATCAACGGCCCGTCCGACCAAGTTTACAGCACGAGTCAAATCTTGCCTTTGGAACATGGAGCCAGTCAATCGTCATCAGGGCTGGGTGCTGCTATACTGCAACAGACTGTGAAGATTGGTGTTCAACCGCTCATGTAAACGTTCCGTCTTCCGATCGCTTCCGACATCACGAGAACTGACTTTTGAGGCACCATGACCACCCCACAAGATTTTCTGACTGGGGTTGCGAACCGCGGGAAATTAAATGATTGTGAAAATTTATATATTTTTTTTTTACTTTCCCACGCACCACCGGTGTACCGCCAATACGTTGAAATGTAACAAAGTGATCCGCAGGCTGAGAAACACAGCACACCTTCCTTCGCGACAGCCTCGCACCACAGGAACAGCACTAATGCCCAATGCTGTCCTTCCCCCGCACCGCCGATTGGCAGGGCTGGCTACGTTCGGTGCGAACGAGGTTCAACGCACAAATGTATATTCATTTACCAAAAATAATTACAATGTACACGGGTAAGTGCCGTCTGCTTTTGCGGGCTGTGCCCGTCATGGGTGTGCGTGGGATCATGCGTCTTCACCTGATGGCTTCTGGCGTTCCAGTGAGGGAGCAGGGACGCTCCGGTTTGCCTCCGCTGTCTAGGAAGACCATAGAGAAATACGAAAAACACAAAGACGAGTTCAGCGGCGGCGAGACACAAGAGTGCACTCACAATCAATGCCGACCGAGCCGTTCCCTCCCTGTTGGGGGGGTTCACCCTCCAATCATTCCTACAGGGGGCGGCAGGGGTCTGTGAACTGGATACCTCACATTGAAGGAAGTTAATATTAAAGTAGAACATCGAGGGGGGGGGGGGGGCAGCGATTTTCAAAAACGCAGGATAATCACCAAATCATTATTTATAACTGCTTATTTTTGCACATTCTTGTATGACATTGTGTTTGTAGGTGTTGTTATATGGTGTTGTTTTAAATTAGTTTACTATACGAAATTGGCATAAATAAACACACAAATCCTACTTTAAAAGGTACTGTTGTTACTGTACCGTGCTTACCACTCCAATCTCGAAGACTCTGCATGGAGTGATGTATATACGTGCAGAATTTTCAGTAAGTTGTATATAGTGTATATTTAACACCGAAATCAAGCATAGCTACTTTTTTTGTTACGCGCATTGTGCCGATCGCCGTATTGGAGCGGTTTTACCGGAGCGGCCCGGGACCGCCAGATAATCGCGCAGCGCCGGATAATCGATGATCAACTGTAGTTGTCGTATTGGTAGGCTGGCCCATTCCTCGGGAATGTGAAATTGTCACAAATGACTCGGGGCCACCGATGGAGATAAATCACCTTTCTAAGCACGTAAGCAGAAAAATTTGATATACTTTTACACATTTTAGAGCAGTGACAGTCACAATATGAACGTATTATCACTTAACTTGTTTACCAAGGGGAAGATTTAGAGTCTCAAGACTTTTTACAAAGGGTCCTGCTAAGTGTTTGCAAGGGGGGGGGGCGACGTTTCTGTGCATTACGTTTTCCTCAGCCAGCACTACAACACGTTCTCATTCCGAAGCGATTTTTTCGATTTTTTAAGTATAAACTCTCCCACACACAGCGCTATAACAAATCGGCACTCTATGGGGGTAGCACTGAGCGATGCCTGCCTGTACCAATCACATTGTTACGTGTTTTTGCCTTCACAAATTTTTACTTTCATCAAATGTTTTGCCATCTCATTTCCATGGTTTGTTAGCTGTGTGTATCGCAAGTGCAAGGATCTATTTTAACTCGCAAGTCATCAAATGTGTAAGCCTCCCCAGCCACCACAGCACGGCACGGATACGCATGCAGAGGTACGGAGAAACGAACCCCCCACTCACCAGGTGAGATCTGAATCTTGCAGCCCGACTCATTCTGTAGCTTGGAAATGTTTTCACCTCCCCTGCCGATGACTACAAGGAGCAAGCAGACAGCACAGGGTTAGTCGGGGGTTAAGGGCTGGGGATTTGGGAAGATTGGTGGGGTTTTAAGGACTGGGTAGGGGTTACAGACGGCAGTGTAGGCAGGTCTTGATAAACATTCGTGTTGTCTAGGATAAAATTTTAGTTTTTCAAAAATACCTACTGACCATCCAATTTCATAGATTTTCATCAAATAAATCTTTATTAGTTTGAGCACTATAATGCAAGGTTATCATGAAGTTGCTATTTTTAAGACGGCAGCAATTTCGCAGTGTTGCTTTGTGTAATCTAAATTGAGTATTTGGCAGGTAAATGTTCAAATGTTGACCGTGATGCCGGTACACGATGGCATCTTCATCGTAAATGAAGGCAAGGAACATCCACTCTGAAGCAGGCGGTGCATTGTATTTTATAGTGACTACACCCGCAGTAATAACCATGGTGGTCTGCCAGATTTGAACCACGAACCAGTACAACAAACAGCAAAGAATCAGAATGTTTATTTATACTGTAGGGGCCGGTCAAAACTTTACAACAAAAAATAAAAAAACAACAGGAGTGCATCTTACAGGAAACGTAAAGAAAGTAAAATATATATACAAATAAAACTGAACTATTTTTTTTATCTTACCAGGTAAAGCCCACTGAGCTATTAGCTTTTTTAGAAGTGACCTGGCCACAAATGATAGTTCAACTGGCTTATCACGTGGAAATGTATAGCACTGGGCCATGGTCACCGCCCCTTGTTTCACCAGTAAGAAACACTACAGACAGAACGATTGGTCGACCACATTGCTAAAAATTCAGGAAATCAAGCTCGTTTAAAAATAGCGGCAGGTCCCACATCCCAAAGGCAGGAACCTCCCCATAAGCCACATTCAGTGTGATGCACCATTAAGCACCATCCATTACTGGGAGGTAATGGATGAGAATCCAGCATCACACCCGAGGCCAATACTTTCACTCCCCCCCCCCCAACTCTTTTCAGATTATCCCCGTAGCTGAAAAATCCAACTGATAATTGGTAATCGATTAATAAAACAATTGGCTATCCTGGCTGTAGAGCCGAGTAGACAGTGGTGGTGAGTGGGTAGTGATAACGGAAGAGGCGATACTCACTGAGTCCCACCATTCTGTCCGGCACTTTAAATTCTTCTGTCACTTGTGACCTGCCAATAAGATCGACAAAAAGAGTCCCCTTCTTAAACAATTGGACACCCTCAAGGTAATTCAATACCTCCGTCGCAATGGTAACAGACTATGGTTATATATAGACATTGTCAAGATAATAAAATACAGCCATCAATAATTTTTATGCTTTCCAAAAAGGCTGATATTGTTCATGCGTTAGCTCTGTCCATCTGTCTCGAACACAGGCCCACAATTACTCTTAAAAAATTATCCAATGTTATTGAAATTTTACTTTAAGGTTGCACCGTTATTTGGGACCTCACATGCCACGTACACACCTCTGCTCCTCCCCAATGATGAGTGGCGTCATTATAATGAATAAAAACTACTGAAAACGCATGTTAGAAAGCCTGACGGAATCCATACGTATGTATTATTTTCTTCCTCGTTCTACCGTTCAACTTGCTAAAATACTGGCAGACAATAACATTCCTGCAAATTACGCCAAAGGGATTATTATTAAATCTTACTTAACTTTAAACTAAACTTTTTTTTATTTACCAGGTAAGGCCCACTGAGCTATGTATCTCTTTTTCAGTAGCGACTTGGCCACAAATGATAGCTCAACAAAGTGGCTTATCATGTGGAAATTTATATCAAATACTAAATGTGGATCGAAAAACAGGGGACATGGTGAAAAAAAATGCTCCAAATATACAGCAGGCGTCGTCAGGGTTGGGATCGAACCCACAACCTCCTGCATATCAGGCGAGGCAGTTAACATCTCCGAGCTATCGTGGGGCAGGACAAGTACTAGTAATGGAAGAACTCCATGACTTCAGGAAGTGGCCCCGAAGCTTGCCATAACGTAAGGGGACCATGGTAATTTACAGCCAACATCAGTTTACCATGGACAATTAGAACCAAGCCGAAACATAACGTAAAAATATAATGTTTTATAATGTTTTTTATTTTTTATGATAGAATATAGTATTGTCATCAGTATGACATAAGTATACCAAGTTTGCAGTCGATACCACATGGGGAAGTGGGTAAAAATTGAGTTACAAGATTTGAGGCTCCAAAAACGACAACAACAGCGAGTTAATAAAAAGCGTGTAAAATAAATGCACCTTTGTTGCGCCACCATTGCTGCAAGCTGGGCACCGATGGCTGGGGGAGAGAAAAAGATCAGGGTAAAACTACTCAAATAATACCCACTTTTTTTCTGGAAATGATTGCAATGAAGACAATTGTGAACATTTAAGTCATGATGGTTTGCCTCTACTGCATGAAACGGGAAACTTAAAAACAAAAATGCCTTACGGTCATTTTTCGCAGCAAACTTTTTACACTCCGGTCCATCTGTGAAAACAAACCCACATGTCAGACTTAGCGTTTAACTGAAAACACACTTGGCTGAATAGTAACACAATCATAATAATTTATAAAAATCTGAATCTTTATTTGTACTGGGGGAATCCGATGAGCTATAAAGCTCTTTTTCGCAGATGTCCAGTCGGGGTGGGTCAGTGTAACAACAATAATACAAAAATGCCACCTCTCGACTCTTAAGACACGTCACCCCTCTGAGCAGATGCTTGGTCAACCCAAAGTGCTTCAGACTAGGACAGTTGGCTAGGTACGGTGCAAAAGAAGCTCAGCATACACACATAGATAGCAGCAGGAGTAAAGTCTCTCCATGCAAGTTGCTGACCGAGCTGGGAATCATCATCAGGTTAAATCCCAGCTGGCCATTCCTTCCTTACCCACGTCCTCCAGCATGGGCCGCTTCTGTGCCACGAAGGGGAACATATTAGCAGCCTCTACGGCGGGGGGAGGCAGCACTCCCACGGTGGTGTTGACAGGTGGGCCCGTGCTGGCCTCCACGCCGATCTTTGCCGCAACCTGCAGCCGCAAACAAAGGATCCCCACCCCACCATGAAGTCTTCCCTTTATCGTGCTTCTACTCAGAAGTGGCCTTCATTGCAAGGCCGCCGCGAGCCACTGGCGGGAGACCCCTGGTAGCCTTTAGTGCGGTCCCTCGACAAGACACAAATGTGAACATCCCCCCCCCCTCCACCCCCATCATCGTTGTTGTGCTGTCAAACCCCAATGGTTTCAAATGCGTGGCGGCTCTCACACCGATGGCTTATCGGCAAAAATTTGTGAAGAATGCCGTCTTACAGCTACGATGGCTACAGTTCCCGTGAACTTTGCTTATCGATTCCTCCTCCCATTTTGACCTGGCCTCCCACTATTTGACCGACAGTCTGCAGCTCACAACAATCGTCTTTACCACACCTCCGAAAATCACGGTTGGCTACATACGGTGCAAAATGAGTTCAACGTGCATGTATGTTGAACTTCTGGATATGGAGGTCAACAAACTAAACACAAAAAGCAGTTGTAAGGAAATTCGTTTTCAATTTAGTATAGTAGTGCAGTGTATTTTAGTGTACAGTGTAGTGTGTGTAGTGCAGTATGTTGAACTTTTCGCACCGTTGGTAACAAACCGCGGTAATCGGAGGTGCGGGGGAAAGGATAACACAAAAAGCATCTCTAAAGAAATGAGTTTTCAATCTCACATACAAATACATACACTGCTTCAATTTGGAATCCCCCCACTCCGTTCTTACAAGCCACGCACAATTTAAGAAACTTGTCAGCTCTCATATATTACAACTCTGAAACTGTGTCACGTTTGACGTTTTGTGCCAGTGCCCAGAAACCGTGATGGCACAAACTTAAAGAGTGTAGTCGTTCGGGCTGGTTGCTGCCGAAGTGTGCGAGCCACCTATGATGGTGCAGAGGCAGGTGTGAGTGAACCAGCAAAATTGGGACTCCTCTACTTACAAAGGCATTAGGTAACAGAGGTATGTCCGTAAGTCCAACTTTACTCCTATTCCAAAGATTGTACGGCATGTACACTAAAAACGGGGAATGGCTTTAAAAGTTGTATAATCTCCTGTAAATGCCGCTGGTTCTTCACGTTCTGTAGATGTCACCACCGGACATCTATTGCGAGGCGGTTGAACTTACAACTCTCGGTCCGTATCTCTAAAAGTTCGTAAATCGAATTTTCGTGTATAGAGTCGCCGCCTGTACCGAGACCGACTGGCAATGTTAATTTTAGTTTTTATTTTACTCACTCCACTGGCACACACACAGACAGAGATTGCCGTCATCTGGGTAAAGTGGATTTGTTCGGTATATTATGGGTTGGGGCTTGCGAGGGACGATGAGGACATGGTGGGGTGGGGGGCTCATCCAGCAGTGGACAGAGAGGTTGGCAACAACTTCTAAAGTGGCCATCTCTCATTTCCTCGTTGAATGATGGCCGATGGCGTGGGGGTCTCGCACAGTAACACCAAGGCCACGCCGCCGAGCCCTGGACCAACTTTTTATCCACAATTACTCTTTTAATACAATAAACACACACGGGACCGAACCACGTCTTAGACGGAAGAAATGACTTACACGTTTAACTTTTAACCCGATTTGCTGTCCAGCTCAGGCTTCGCTAGGCCAGCACGGCAGCTATAGGCCTCAACACCCCCGTCTGAGTTTTTAACACCGGAGGATGTTTAATTTTAATTTGAACGACCACCCATCGAGTGTTTAAGGTGCACGAGGTAACGTCCAGCCGAGACCACACGGAGCGGTGAAATCGATTGAATGCGTAAAGTTGCCGCGTGGATTGTCAATATCGCGGGGTCGTGCGGGTGTGCAGGGCCTTCACCCAGCAGTGGATTGACCATCACGAATGAGTAAAACGATTGACGAGTAAAGCAAAGTGGATTGTTTGGGGAAAACGCTGGCTCCGATTTCAGCGCTCCGTCTCCATGAGGGTTGAGGTGGGGGGTGGTGGACATGACATGGGACGCCTTCCATTTAAGCAGAGTTTTAATGATAATTAAAACCACAACAAAAACCGTCTCGCAATAAAGACGCAACCGGGTTTTTTTATTCTATGGATTTCAAATTTCGATTCAATTCCCGTCGCCTTCCGGCGACTGAGCGAGGGAAGCGCGGCCGTCAGGGCCGAAGCGTCAGCCCGAGGCAAAAAACAAACAAGCCACGAAGAGTAAAGACATTATTATTATACAACAACGCTCTGTATCGTAACAACGGCAATAAGCGACTCTCGTTACCATCCTGGCGCGTTGAACGGCGTCAGCGAAGGCGTCGCTCTTGATTCCTCCCGCGTTCGCCATCCCCGCGCCGCCCTGAGGAGTCACCACACCGCCCAACGCGAACTCCGCCATTACAGCCGCGAAATGGCGGTGGAGACGCTTCGCCCACCTCCCACAACCGTCAAAATCCCCGTCGGGCGCGCACAATGCGCACGCGCGGGACAGTCGACGCGTTACCAGCCCCGCCCCTCAAACATCCCACCCGCCGCATCCCACTCCCCCCCGTTCTCCCCCCCCGCGTTCTCCCCCCCCCCCGTTCTCCCCCCCCCCGTTCTCCCCCCCCGCCCCCGTTCTTCCCCCCCCGTTCTTCCGCCCCCCCCCCGTTCTCCCCCCCCCCCGTTCTCCCCCCCCCTCGTTCTCCCCCCCCCCCGTTCTCCCCCCCCCCCGTTCTCCCCCCCCCCCCCCGTTCTCCCCCCCTCCGTTCTCCCCCCCGCCCCCCGTTCTTCCGCCCCCCCCCCCGTTCTCCCCCCCCCCCCCCGTTCTTCCCCCCCCGTTCTCTCCCCCCCCCCGTTCTCCCCCCCCCCGTTCTCCCCCCTCCGTTCTCCCCCCCCTCCGTTCTCCCCCCCCCGTTCTCCCCCCCCGTTCTCCCCCCCCCCCCCCGTTCTCTCCCCCCCCCCGTTCTCCCCCCCCCCCGTTCTCGCCCCCCCCCCCGTTCTCCCCCCCCCCCGTTCATCCCCCTCCCCGTTCCTCCACCCCCCCGCGTTCTCCCCCCCCCCCGTTTCTCCCCCCCCCCGTTCTCCCTACCCCCCCCCCCCCCCGTTCTCCCCCCCCCCTCGTTCTCCTCCCCCCCCCCCCTCGTTCTCCCCCCCCCCGTTCTCCCCCCCCCCCGTTCTCCCCCCCCCGTTCTCCCCCCCCCCCCCCCGTTTCTTCTCCCCCCCCACCCCGTTCTCCCCCCCCCCCGTTCTCCCCCCGCCCGTTCTCCCCCCCCCCCGTTCTCCTCCCCCCCCGTTCTCACCCCCCGTTCTCCCCCCGTCTCCCCCCGTTCTCCCCCCCCCCCCGTTCTCGCCGCCCCCCCCCCCCCGTTCTCACCCCCCCCCCCGTTCTCCCCCCCCCCCCCCCGCGTTCTCCCCCCCGGCGTTCTCCCCCCCTCCCCGTTCTCCCCCCCCCCCCGTTCTCCCCCCCCCCTTCTCCCCCCCCCGTTCTCCCCCCCGTTCTCCCCCCCCCGTTCTCCCCCCCGTTCTCCCCCCCCCCCCGTTCTCCCCCCCCCCCCCCGTTCTCCCCCCCCCCGTTCTCCCCCCCCCCCGTTCTCCCCCCCCCCCCCGTTCTCTCCCCCCCCCCCCCCCCCCCGTTCTCTCCCCCCCGTTCTCCCCCCCGGCGTTCTCCCCCCTCCCCGTTCTCCCCCCCCCCCCCCGTTCTCCCCCCCCCCCCCGTTCTCCCCCCCCTTCTCCCCCCCCCCCGTTCTTCCCCCCCCCCCGTTCTCCCCCCCCCCCCCCGTTCTCCCCCCCCCCCCGTTCCCCCCCCCCCCCCCCCGTTCTCCCCCCCCCCCCCCCGTTCTCCCCCCCCCCCCCCCGTTCTCCCCCCCCCCCCCCCCCGTTCTCCCCCCCCCCCCCGTTTCTCCCCCCCCCCCCCGTCTCCCCCCCCCCCCCGTTCTCCCCCCCCCCCCCCCGTTCTCCCCCCCCCCCGTTCTCCCCCCCCCCCCCCCCCCCCCCCCCGTTCTCCCCCCCCCGTTCCCCCCCCCCCCCGTTCTCCCCCCCCCCCCTCTCCCCCTCTCCCCCCCCCCCCGTTCTCCCCCCCCCGTTCTCCCCCCCCCGTTCTCCCCCCCCCTCTCCCTCCCCCCCCCCCCGTTCTCCCCCCCCCCGTTCCCCCCCCCGTTCTCCCCCCCGTTCTCCCCCCCCCCCCCCGTTCTCCCCCCCCCCCCCCCGTTCTCCCCCCCCCCCCCCCGTTCTCCTCCCCCCCCCGTTCTCTCTCCCCCCCCCCCCGTTCTCCCCCCCCCCCCGTTCTCCCCCCCCCCCCCGTTGTCTCCCCCCCCCCCCGTTCCCCCCCCCCCCCGTTCTCCCCCCCCCCCCCCCCTTCTCCCCCCCGTTCTCCCCCCCCCGTTCTCCCCCCCCCCCCGTTCTCCCCCCGCCCGTTCTCCCTCTCCCCCCCCCCGTTCTTCTCCCCCCCCCCGTTCTCCCCCCCCCTTCTCCCCCCCCCCGTTCTCCTCCCCCCCCCCGTTTCCTCCCCCCCCCCCCCGTTCTCCCCCCCCCCCCCCCCGTTCTCCCCCCCCCCCCCCGTTCTCACCCCCCCCCGTTTCCTCCCCCCCCCCGTTATCCTCCCCCCCGTTCTCCCCCCCCCCCCCCCCGTTTCTCCCCACACCGCCCCGTTCTCCCCCCCCCCCGTTCTCCCCCCCCCCCCCCGTTCTCTCTCCCCCCCCCCCCGTTCTGCCCCCCCCCCCGTTCTCCACCCCCCCCCCGTTCTCCCCCCCCCCCCCCCGTTCTCCCCCCCCCCCCCCCCGTCTCCTCTCCCCCCCCCCCCCCCGTTCTCCCCCCCCCCCCCCCCCCGTTCTCCCCCCCCCCCCCCCCCCACGTTCTCCCCCCCGCTCTCGTCGATCAGCACCACTGCGCACGCGCGGTGAAGTCCTCCCAAAGAATTTCCCGTCGGTTGTCCTTAGTGCGCATGCGCGTCGGAGGAGTGAAAGGGAGGTATCGCTCCTCCGTCGCTATGCGCAGCACGCTGATCGTGAGAGAGCAAGTTGGCGCATGCGCGAACACAGGTTTGGCGGGAAAATTGAGCCGAGCTGGCACAGGTGGGGAGGGGGTGGAGTTTGGTAGTGACCGAGCAGTCGTGCCATATTAGAGGCTTCACCTCTATGCTAGCCGTGGTCACATCAGAGGTTTAACCTCTAGATTGGTAGTTTGCTCAATTATACGAATACTCGCTTTTTGCCCGTCCAAGGACGGGTGTAGATTGCAGTAAATCTGAAATATTCAATGGAAAAATTGTTCAGCTCATGATTATTGAGTGGGGGGGTGCCCCATCTGGAGTGACGTCACCCGCTAATGGTTATTGCGGAGGGGTGCGGGCATGTGGAGTGACGTCACCCCCTCATGGTTATTGTCGAGGGGCGCAGCATGTGGAGTGACGTCACCCGCTCGTGATTATTCATGAGAAGAGGGGTGCGGCATGTGGAGTGACGTCACCCGCTCATGATTATTCATGAGAACGGAGGGCCCGTGCGGCATGTGGACATGTGACGTTCACCCCCACCCCCCGCTCATGATTATTCATGAGGGTGATGTGCGCAGGCATGTGGAAGTGACGTCACACGCTCCATGATTATTCATGAGGGGAGGGCGCGGCATGTGGAAGTGGACGTCACCCGCTCATGATATTCATGAGGGGAGGGTGCGGCATGTGGAGTGCCGTCACCCGCTCCATGATTATTCATGAGAAGAGGGGAGCGGCCATGTGGACAGTTGAACGTCACCCGCTCATGATTATTCATGATGGGGAGGGTTGCGGCAATTGTGGAGTGACGTCACCCGCTCATGATTATTCATGAGGGGAGGGCGCGGCATGTGGAGGACGTCACCCGCTCATGATTATTCATGAGGGGAGGGTGCGGCATGTGGAGTGACCGTCACCCGCTCAGATTATTCATGAGAAGAGGGCGCGGCATGTGGCGTGACGTCACCCGCTCATGATTATTCATGAGGGGAGGGCGCGGCATGTGGAGTGACGTCACCCGCTCATGATTATTCATGAGAAGAGGGCGCGGCATGTGGAGTGACGTCACCCGCTCATGATTATTCATGAGGGGAGGGTGCGGCATGTGGAGTGACGTCACCCGCTCATGATTATTCATGAGAGGAGGGGCGCGGCATGTGGAGTGACGTCACCCGCTCATGATTATTCATGAGGGGAGGGTGCGGCATGTGGAGTGACGTCACCCGCTCGTGATTATTCATGAGGGGAGGGGTGCGGCATGAATATGAATAAAGGGGGGGGACACTTTTGAAGTGACGTCACGCATGGATGTAGCATTGTGCTGCGTACATTAATTTTTTACCGTCACTTTCTGTCAGGAAACGTCATATTTGAAGCGACTTTGCGTAATAAATTATTGAATTCAGCTCGACCTTCCTCTGCGTTTGTGTAAAATCCACCAATCATGAATATTAATGAGGGGGGTGGGCCCCATGTGGAGTGACGTCACGTGCGGGACGGACAGACATTTCTGCTATTTCTCACATTAACATCATTCTAATCTCTCATATTAACATCATGCTAATTTATCGCATTAACATAGCCACTTCCATGCCCTCGTTGAGGAGGCCGCTCTCCTATCTTATGTCACTAGCTCCGCCCACTTCTTTATGACCCTTGGGCTACACCCATTTCCAGAGGTGTGGACTCGAGTCATGTGACTTGGACTCGAGTCAGACTCGAGTCATGAATTTGATGACTTCAGACTCGACTTGGACTTGCATAACAATGACTTTGTCCCACCTCTGCCCATTTCAAACCTTTTACAACAGTCTCCCTCAGCAGCAGGCCACGCTTTCCCACCTGATGACGGACGCTTGTGTTGCGCCCGCAACGTCGCGATTTATTTTATGTTATACCTACGTGACTTTACCGAAAGAACCAAAGAGTATGGATTCCTGCAGTCACGAAAGCTTCAAATCAAGATTTCTGGGTGATTATAGTAGGTAATTGTATTTATACTGCAGGAGGAAATCCGATGAGTTATGAAGCACTTTTTCCCCAATGATGTCAAGTAGGGGCACTGGGTCAGAATATAACAACAAACATAACTGAACCACTGCCATCTCACCAGGCAAAGCCCGCTGAGGTATTAACCTATTTTACTGGTAGGAACCTCCTGGTTACACCAGCCCACAGGGGATTATTGTGTCCGTCCATCGTGCAGGGAGGGGCTAGGTGGGGAGGGAGGGGCTGGGTGGGGAGGGGAGGGTGGGGCTGGGTGGGGAGGGGACTGGGTGGGGAGGGGACTGGGTGGGGCTGGGTGGGAGGGGTGGGGCTGGGTGGGGAGGGGCTGGTCACCCCGTGGTGCCCTTATAAAACTCAACGTTTAACCTACTCACGCCGGCTTGTGCCCGCCCTCACAGTCGGGCATATTTGCGGAATACACCACGCCGCCGTTGACCCTGGCCATTGACCGAGCAACCCAAC